GGGGGGGGGGGGGGGGGGGATAGAGCGTGCTTGGGAGATGAAGGAGAAGACGCTTTGGTGAGTGACACTGCGGTGTCGGAGTAATCTTTCGATGATTCCATTGTAATTCTTATATAACGATTTCCTTTAGAAAAAAACTTTGTAGAACCTTTAAATGTGTTTTGTATATAACATTTAGTTTTTAAATGCAATCATTGCCTATGCATACACTCATGACTCATGGATGACCTAGAGGATGTGCAAAATGGTCAATCGCACATGACCCCTAAAACTTTAAGATCTCATATTTTTAAATTTATCATTAATTTTGAAACATAAGTATTCTAAAATAATAAAATAAGATCCAAAATGTAAATTTTGGACCAGATTAATATCATTTTTTCATTTTCCGAGACCGGCCCTGCATACCCTATCAACCCCAAAGGAGTTCATACAACCTTACAACATTTTTCAATATGCACTTATCCAAGCACTATTGATCTTCATTGATTATATTCAGATTCCGCGGTCAATTTTGTAAGAGCTTCATGGTACTATCAATACTCGAGTCTTAAAGAGAGTTACTTTCGCTGAGCTTTTATTCAAGGCTCTAAAAGAGAATATGGATGTTCCTTTATCTCTTTTTGTAATTTGAAGAATTATTTTGATTCTTCAAAATGTTCTTGGAGTGTAGTCTCTTCAAAAAAGAAGATATTTTTGAGATGTATTCTTATGTGTAAGATAATCGCTTTATACTAAAGTTCTCGAGTTATAAGATTTACCAACACCATTAAATTCAAACTTACATAGAGAAAATCTTGAATACCATTGTTTGGAGATTGGGAGAAGGAACAAATATTGAGTCAAATCACTATACAGTATACACTATTGTGCTCTTACTTGTTTTATGATTTTTTTCCCTTGGTTTTTAGTTGTACTTCGCTTATCCTAGTCTATTGACCTTTATGGTTAAAAATCATGTGAAAAATTTCTAACGAATCAATAACTCTATTCACATCCTCTGAAGTTGGGTTATTTATTGTTCAACATGATCTAAACATGCATTGTCTTTGTCACACATCAAAGTCTTCAAACCATTACGACATTACTTTTGGTCACCCAAAAATGACGACATATACCTGATCTTGATTAAATTATAGTTCTTGTAATAGCAAACTTATATATGATGATGATGATTGTCTTTGACTTTTATTAATTGTCATTGTGTTTGATCATATAATTAGGAGCTACCGTCTTTAAAATTTGAAGGGAATCCGAGTGTGGGAATGTGTCAATGACAATCTAAGTAATACCACTTCGTGCCTAATATTTTTTCCTGACAACATTTACATTGACTATCATTCGGGTTCGATTGCACAAATCTATCGATTGATCATTATTTCCTAAAGTAAGCGGTATTTGAATTTAACTCGTGATTTGAGACACTTAATGCATACACATTTTTAAATCAATATATAATATCAATTTTATTAAATTTATGATCAAAATTGTCAGTTTTGATTGTAAAAAGTAAAATCTGGATAAATATTTTGAGATAGAAATAGTGCTAGTAATAGTTGTCTCACATCTTCACAAATACCAACTACACATATTTTATTAGATTTTTTGACATGCCAAACACGAAAAACTATATAAGACTAAAAGTAGATTGTAGCAATACATTATGTAAGAAGATAAATTTGCATAATTTGACTTTTTTAAAATTACACTCGATGAACTTTGACCCTTAGTTATACAACAATTAAATTGTATATCAATACAATAACAAACAAGTAAAGTGATTTAGGGGATATATGTACACAGACTTTATCCATACTCGAAAATAAAAATTCCAATACAATGAAATAATATTGTAAAAATTTTCTACAAAAATATGTAATGGAATTATATTTTTAATATATATACTACTTTGTATGCAGTTTGCACTGATAAAAAAATATTCACCTAAAATAAAAAAAAGGTCAAATTGAGACAAATACTATAGGGGACGAAGGTGGTATTCGATCATTTCGTTTCAAAATAAAGTTAATACCCTGTACAATATTGTTTTCAAAAGAATCTTTTCAGCATCAATCACAATTATATAAAATTGTGAAAAATTAGAACTTAAAAGGTGACAAAAATGTATATGTCGTATAACCAATTGTATGAGAGCTCTTTTAGATATGGTTCTTTTATATCCGTGTCAAATATTTATTACGAGTACAATGAAATTCGTTTCGCAAAATTTTTTTCCTACCTCTATCTTCGAATATTTGTCTAATTTTGATTTTCTATAATAATTTATTTTCAACATTTGATCTATAATTAAATAAATCATATAAATTATGTAGTATATTAATGAAATAAAGTAATATTTTAAAATTTTTATATATAAAAAATCTAATAAAAATATTTTGTATCGATATCTAATATCAAATTTATTTAATTTAGAGAGAAAATAGATAAATATTCAGAGATGAAAGTGATATTTTAGTTCTACGCTTGTCTTTATTTTAGCTAAAATGCGTATTGAGCTAATCATTAATGTACATTCTATGTAAATCTTATGAGCATTACATTGTCAATGCCCAATGGTTTTACCTAAGTTTAAGTTTGAGCAGAGGTGGATGCATTAGCTCACTTTGCATCATGAAATTGAAAATATATAAAGTATTCAAAATAAATAAAAAATAAATATGCCAATTAGTTACTCCTTTTTTGCCAAATAAACTAAAACTTTCTTCGTTTCAATTTATTTGTCAAAATTGATTTTTTCGAATCAAATAGAATGAACTTTAAACATTAATTAAAAAATAGTAATATATATTAGTATGAAAATATTTTTATTAGATTTGCTAGATGAGGATTTTTCAAATTTAATTTAATTTTAATAATATACAGTACAAATTATACAAATTGTGAGTAATTCTGTAATTGAATAAGGGGCTGTTTGTTTCAGCCTCTTAATGGTTCAGATGTCTGAATGGTTCAGCACTTAATGATTCAGACTGTTTGTTTCAGCCTCTTAATGGTTCAGATGTCTGAATGGTTAAGAGATTTGCCTCTGAATGGTTAAGTATTATACAGAGTCTGAATGGTTAAGACCCCTTATCTGAATTGATCTGACATTTGCCTCTGAATAGTTAAACAATATACTAGCTGTTAGTGGTTCAGACCTCTTACTGGTTCAACACTTAATGGTTCAGACCTCTTACTGGTTCAGCACTTACCTATTCAGAAGTTGCACTAAGGACATTGGCTTGGAAAATGCAGAATTTGCCCTTAGCCATTTCAGTCGCAAGGTAGAGAGTGAAGGAGACAGCGAGCCAACTGAGAGAGAAGAGCAATGGCGTCGGCTTGGAGGTGGGCTATACTCCGTCACGTTCGAGTCCCGGTGACGCAATCCCTCTCATCCAACGGATCGCGACTCATCTCCGGCCGATGGATGTCGTCGGTCGACGGCCACCTCTCCAAGGAGCAAGTCTCCGATAGAGTCCTAGACGTCATCAAGAACTACCCCAAAGTCGATCCTTCCAAGGTATCATATCTGTTCTTCGCCCTTCGTTTTGAAGCCAATTACAACTAGAAATTACAAAAAGAAAAGCACGGTTTCATTTATGAGATCTAGTAATTTATTAACATGGATGCGTGTTTCTTTGCGGTTTGATGAAATTGATTGGTGAAAAACGCTATAGGCTAATGTTGCTGAACAATTAGGGGTTTGCCTTGGGGAGCTTGTGCAATGGGGGAAATGCTCAGTCCCTTAATATGTTATAGACTGAAACCATTGCAAGGTATGGGACTTGTCCCACATCGGTTGTATGGGCAATTGATGTGGGGTTTATAGGCCAAATGGGTTCCCCTACCTATCAGACTAGTCTTTTGGGTTGAGTTCTTCCGTTTGGCCTGTAACAGTAGTATCAGAGCCAACCTCGGAGTGGTGGCCCACGGAGTGGTGGCCTGGAGAAAGCCAGCCGTGACCAACGTGGCCGTGACCAACGAGGACATTGGTCCTTAAGGAGGGGCGAATGTTATAGACTAAAACCATTGCAAGGTATGGGACTTGTCCCACATCGGTTGTATGGGCAATTGATGTGGGGTTTATAGGCCAAATGGGTTCCCCTACCTATCAGACTAGTCTTTTGGGTTGAGTTCTTCCGTTTGGCCTGTAACAGTAGTATCAGAGCCAACCTCGGAGTGGTGGCCCACGGAGTGGTGGCCTGGAGAAAGCCAGCCGTGACCAACGTGGCCGTGACCAACGAGGACATTGGTCCTTAAGGAGGGGCGAATGTTATAGACTGAAACGATTGCAAGGTATGGGACTTGTCCCACATCGGTTGTATGCATAGTTATTAAAGGCGCTCGCCTCTCTCGCCTATGGCGCCTCAGGCGACCAGGCGAGCTCTCAGCGCCTCAAGGAAGCCAGGCGAGGCGAGATCCCTAAGGCGCGCCTAAGGCGGTCGCCTTTCTCGCCTCAATCACTACCTTAAGGCTTTAGGGTATACAATGCATAATATTTATTCCTATATATTACTCCATAATACACACACACACACACACACACACATACACATATATACATATACATATACATATACATATACATATACATACATACATACATATATAGTATCAATATTATGTGTTTATACATACATACATATATGTGTGTGTGTGCGTGTGTATATGTATATGTATGTATGTATGCATGCATGCATGTTCGCCATTTGACCGCCCGCCTCTCGCCACGCCTCTTGCCATAAAAAAGGTCCTCTCGCCCGCCCCTCGCCACTCGCCATTAATAACTATGGTTGTATGGGCAATTGATGTGGGGTTTATAGGCCAAATGGGTTCCCTCACCTATCAGACTAGTCTTTTGGGTTGAGTTCTTCCGTTTGGCCTGTAACATAATACGCCCTTTGAAATTAGGGTTCCACAGTTGCCCGAACACGATTTTAAGATAAGAGAAATTTTGTAGCTGAAATTTATGCAGAAGAAGATGGAGAAATAATGTGAATCATACAATTCTTTCCTTCAATGAAAAGCAGAATCTTATCTTTGACTACAAGCTAAAAGGATTGGAGGGACTATGTGCTATGTCTAGTAAAGCTGCCCATAGTATAATATAAGAGAATGAAATCAAGAAAACAAGAGAACTAGTCGATAGAGGAAGTGGTGGCTCTACACTTCTATCCATAGTTATAGTATAGAATATTGCGACATGCACAGTGGCCTGGAGGGTTCAAATTGCATTTCCAATCCTAGATCTAGTATCATACTATTATTCCATGTATGTAAAAGGAAACAACATAAATGAAAATCACTTCTCATAAAATATAATTTTGGGGGGGTGGGGCAATCTGCACTCTCAACATCTATAGCTATAAGTTTTGGGATACATGCAACTTTGTGTCCATTGATTGTGTAACGGCTCAAGTCAGTGCTTCTAGGATTCATGAAGCACTGACATGAATACAGACTGGATACAGAGATATGAAAAAATCATAAAACTTAGGACATATACATGGCAGGGATACGATTCAATAAATACATGAAAAAAAGCACAACATTAAGTTTTCAGTCATAGGTCCAAATAAAATTCTTGCAAACATATAAAGTTTCAATCAAACTCAAGTCTTTTAAAATTTAAGTCTAGCGCTATCTTCCGAGTCAAATAACATGGCCTCCAGTTGTGGGCGGGACAAATTTGCAATGTCAAGAGTTCCATCATTCTGTATATACATGGAGTTAAAACCATCTCATACACTGTTCCACAATTTTTTTCACTTGTTATATTTTGGAGATATGTGGTGTTTTTTTAAGACATATCATTGGGGTCGCAATCACTCTATAGTTCTTTGTGAAACCTTAGAAGCTTGCGTATCCCACAACCCCCTCAATGAACTTGGTGGTTTTGCTTATACTTTGGAGTCGTTTACGGCCTTACTTTTAAAAGACCCCGCGCCTTACAGAAAAAGGGGCATTGGAGCCTCGATGCACATTTGAGGCACATGCATCAAGAACATGAGGCACATATAAATGAATAAAAGAGTAGTATCTCTATAGTAGTTCAAGGCAAAGGCGCACGCCTCATGGATCCAAAGTGCACTTGGATGTTAAAATTCAATTACTCCGTATATGACTTGTAGTTGATATCATTAATCACCAAAACACGATAACATCATAAACAACCAAAACTTACGAGATCAAAAATTAGATTAGAACCAAATTTTGAAGTCTAAGGCCATGTTCTCTTCACCTGATGTGATTGGAATAAGTTCTGATCTGGTCTGATCTGATTTAAATGTAGTTATATTTAAAGCTATTTTTGATGTGATCTGGTCTGATCTGATTACAATAAGAATAAGTAATAAGTAAAAAAATAAGTTGAGGAGAACATGGCCTAAATATAAAACCAACCAAAGTTCAAAGTGCAAAGACAAAGGTTCATAACAATTACTGATTTACTACAAGAAATATTAACAGTTAACAACTGAACAAAGTCTCACCGGTCACTGCATAAGAAAATGAGAAAAGAAGATAGCACGGTTGGTATACAAACCGACAAAACAAATCATGGAATTTGACAATCCTAAATCAGATGAGAATTCTAAAAACAGAAATAAGCCCCTTGGAATCTCAATCAAAACTTTAAAAATTTAAAAAAATCTTCAAGGGAAAAAGAGGAAATGATGTAATTCGTAATTAAGGAATAACTAAAAAGAAAAGCCAAAAAAGATTTGAAGGAAGAACAAAGGAATAGAAGAATACTGCCAAGCCAAAAGTTTTAAATTTCCGTCAACAAGAATGAACCAAAAACCAGAAGAAAACAGAAATGGAGGGAGAAGGAATGAAGGATAAAGAGAGAAGTTTGCCTTGGGAGAGAATCACCTGCTCTTTTCTGCAACTGTGCTAAGAAAAGGGAGGCCGGTCCTCATGAGTTGCGCTTTGCCTCACAGTCCTGTTGTGGTTTTTTGAAAGACTTTGTGCACTAAGGTGTGTCTTAAGCACACTTTTTAAAACAAAGTTTACAACAGTATATTTTATTTCAAGAAGACAGGACCAAGATAGGAACCCCGTTTTTTGCCAAAACACACTTCAAATGTTATAAAAATAGGGAATTAGTACTTTATAATCGAAAAACTAACTCAAAGTGTTGCAAGTGTTCTGCCTAGGTATGCTATAATCATAAAAAAAAAGACTAACACAAACTTTGTCAAGTGTGGGCTGAAGACTTCATTCCTTAAGTCTTTGAAAGGCAGATGAGATATGTTTGGTATGTTGTTTTATTTGTATCGGCGGAGGCATCCAAACTTGGTGATACCAAGAAGCTAGGGCGAAGGTTGAATTTTGTAAAATATCTGGCCTGTAAACTTCGTCCAATAAATCCTCACCTACCGGAGTAAGAAACTTGTCCTTCACCGTTGTTGAGTAAAGTTCCTGTCTTCCTGATAATCCATGCGAAATTTTCTTGTTCCATCTGACTTGCATTCCAAACTAAAACATTGCTTCTCAATTTCATCATTTATGCAATTGGGGTCCTGACCAACCTGGTTAATAGCTGATAGCTATTTGTATTAGAAGATTTTATTTTTCAAAAGGATGTTTGGTATCTTAGTAAATTGTTTAAATTATAAACTAAAATACGAATACAAAAAAGATTTTTCTTTTCTTCCAAAATGCTCCTCTCAGCACTCTGCTTTTGAGATTTCCACTACCATATTGCTAATTCAAAACACTAATTCACCAAGCAACTCAAAAGAGCATTTTGACTTCCAAAAATGCTAAAAACTGAGCATTTTGCGCATGAAAATGTTGTTTACCAAACATGCCCATAATAGAGTTCATCTGCGAAGTTCTCAATTGGAGTTGATATGCATGTGGTGTCTGTACTTTGTAGTTTAAGTCTGACAAATCTCCATGATTACGTCATTTGGCTGGTGATGTTATTCTTCCTTTAAAAATAGGGATGGTCTTGGAAAAAGCCTCTCTACTTTTAATTAAGGGTATTATGTACGTACACACTCTCCCCAAACCTTGCTCCGTACTTCTGTGGCATTCTATTGGGTTTGTTTGTTTGTTTAAAAATGGGGGAAGTTTATCATATTTTTAAATTTCCAACTGCCAACAGGTAACTCCCGACGTCCATTTTGAGAAGGATCTTGGCTTGGACAGCTTAGACACAGTTGAGATTGTAATGGCGCTTGAGGAAGAGTTCAAGCTTGAAATTCCGGATAAGGAAGCGGTTCAAATCGACTCTTCCAAGCTTGCAATCGAGTATATTCACAACCATCCTATGTCAAGTTAAGTGGTTTTTTAGTAGTTTGGGATTGGGGTTCCTTCAATTCCCACCGGTATTTGCCTTTTGAATGTGGAATCATTCATCCTTCAACAAAGAAACATCCAATGATCATATTGTGTAAGCTTTGTGACTTTGTTTTTTTGTTGGGGGGATTGCTTTGTTTTTGCATATTTTGGTGTTCAATCTTTGAAAGATGCATTGGCAAATAAAAAATGTATGCATGGAATTGTCATTTCCCTTCATTCCTTTTTATGGCCACTTTTAATTTGATGCCGAGTTGCATAGATAAATGAGTAATGCTAGAGTTACATACAATTTAGACTCAAACTACACAAATTTATCATTTGTGTATTTGACTCTTTATTTTTTAAATTATTTAAAATCATTTTATTCACTTGATAAAGTGTATAAATAGTAAGTTTATGTTCAAGTTATTTGTAACGCTAGCATTATTCTAGATAAATAAACACTCACATCTTCTAGTACACGATGTCCATATGGGAAAATGCTACCATAAGTCCATTATACACTAAGAGACAAACATTGTCAATGAGAAATTGTTGTATATTTATTGGTGGTGTTAATTTTAGTGTCACTTGTGGTGTAAGTGTACCATAACCTGTCTTCATGGGTTTAAGACTATATCCTTCTCAACTGCTTAGCTTCCCAAAGGTTCTTACTAAAGTATTGAGTGTCCTTAAGAAGTCATACAATGTAGGTGATGCCATGGAGAGCTTTGGAGGCTATGGATGTTTCCTAAAGCACTAATGCTTCTCATTTTATTACATATTATTTAGATTAAACTTACGCGTCGTAAAAATGGGGTACCCCATTTCTACACCAGGCAAATACACACTTAGTGTCTGTGATCACAGACACCAAGTGTCTGTGGTTGCCTGGTATACAAATGGAGTATTACATTTTGGTATACTCTTAATATGACCCTATTATTAAATATAAACTCTGGTAACATGTATACTCCGTATTATTTTGGGATGCTTGAAAAAATTAGGAATTAGAGTTAAAAGTTGCTTTATGCCTTTAGTCATGAAAAAACTACTGTAAAAGAATTTACATATGTACATTAAACAATGGGCAAGGTTTCCATGACATTGCCCGACAATGTCATGGGAACCTTGGTATTAAACAATAGAATAAAAATGGGAAGAGCTTAGTTAAAGCATCTTGGGGTGGTGGCGCTCTTAGAGGGTCCAACCTTAATTTGCTTTAATGTTTAGCTTTAATGTTTTGAAAAAAAATATTTAATTAAATTAATTTTAATATTTTTAAAATTAATTTGTACCAACAAAAAATTATTTAATCCTTGCTTGGGGTCCAATGAATTATTATTTGATGTAATACCATATAATAATGATTGCGCGGTTTTTTTAGCACATTTATTTATTGTAATAAACGTAATGTCTGTTCATATGTACTTTTTTGACGATTGATGCACAAAGAGTCACCGCCCTCACTAGAGTTCTAAGTTCGTGGGAAAGCTACAATTATGCCGTTTGGCAATAATGTCTTTGATATTATTATTATTATTTATTTATTTATTTATACTATTATCATTATTAATTATGATTATTATACTTAATATTTAGTATAAAAAAAGACTTTGTTTCTTGCGTTTTATTTGGCTTGAAAAGTGGGAAACCACAACCCCTCTACTTAGCCTATAATCAATCATCGTGATGGATTCGATTTATTCGGATATTTATAAAGTTTACCAAATCATTAATTTTATGTATTCTTCTTACATAGTGACTCTTGTAAATATATTTTCAAACTCATTTTTCTTTTGTAACCTTAAATACTCTTTTGTTGTTTTTATGTTTTAGCCTTTGGCTTTCTCTAACTAAAGTTTTTATAGAACTTGGCTCTAAATAGTGTAAAATTCATTATAGAATTTTATTCTCTAATTTCAGTTCATTTTTGGCACTACCAATTCCAAATTCACATATTTTTGTGCAACCACATAACAGAACTGAAATTTTCTTTCTCAATTTCAATTTCATAGTTTGAATTCTGTGTACCAAACGTAACCTTAATAAAATTAAAATTAAAATAGAAGAGTTCATTTGATATGATCCCATCATAACACACCAAAACACCACGTCCATAAGAGTATATGAAATTATGAATGATTAAACAGTTAATTAACACATAAGAGTAAAATGATACGATTAAACAGTTAACTAACACCCCAAAACACCACCACTAGCTGCACAATCACATTTATGTCAAAGAATAAAAATCTTTTTTTTTCTCCTTTTTCTAAATTTAAAAACCCCATTAAATGAGAAAAATAAAAATAATGCAATAGTAGTATAGCTACTCAATGTTTGGGTCCGGCAGTTTGAAGGTCATGGACGAGAGTGAGAGCCATGGCGGACAACTGGATGGTGTCGTTGTTCCGCTTCTTGAGCGGAGAGACGATGCCTCTCCGCTCCTCGAACCCGTCCTCGCACGTCGAGGCGGCGTCGAGGACGGCCGAGAGGTGCACGGAGGCGTCCGCGAGCCGCCCGGAGTTGTACTCCTTCATCGCCGCCTTGACGTCGGAGATGGAGTCGGAGTACATCTCCAGGCAGTCGCGGAGGCACAGCTCCGTGTACCTGTCGCGCCTCGGCGACTTCTCCTTCAGCATCTGCTTGATCCGGCACCACGTGTCAGTCACGTTGTACCGGATCAGGCGGATGCTGATCGACGTGAGGCCGCGGAGCGTGGCGCACCCGCTCGCCGGCGCCGCCTCCAGGGCGGCGGCGCAGAAGCCGTACTGGACGTTCGTGTCCTCCTTCGCCAACACTTTGCATGTTTTCTTGATCAGGTCCTCCGCCGCCGTCGCGCCGTGGATGACGGAGGCGGCGGCGAGGAGGAGGAAGAGGAGGAGGGAGGAGGTGTGTGGTGGTGGTGGTCGTGGAGGAGTTGTCATTTTTTTCATGCGTGGTTTAATGTGGTATGGCATGCTCTTCTTGTTTTGGTGTTGTTTAGGGTTATTTATAAGAGCTAAGGCAGGGTGGATATTTCGGTTCGGTTTAACCAGACCAAACTGGGCATGTGATTCAGTTTCAATTGCGTATCCATTTCATATACAATTATATATACATATTCGGCAAATGATACAACCCGAAAGCCCATTAAAAATGAGTTAAATACAACTTTAGAATAAGAGTTACTCCTTCCTGTCCAAAAAACATGAAAGTTATTGATTTTTAAGAGATTTAAGGAAAGTATATTTTGGTATTGAATTTCTAAAAAATTAGATAAAAATAGGACTTAATGGACAAGTTATTAGTAAAAATGTATGATGTGATAAGTATGGTATGAAAAAGTAAGAGGTAAAAGTGACTTTTTAATAGAAATAAGAAGTACGGAGTATTTTTTAGGATGAGTGAAAAAAGAAAGGAGAAAAGTTTTCAGTAATGGAGGGAGTATTTCATTAGAACCACACATGACACATGTATTGAAACTACAAATACTTAATGAGATTTATTTATAATATTTCTAGATGGTGTTTAGAAATCATTGTTCTAATTATTAATTAAAACTCAATAGGTTGTATTCAAAACAACTAGTTAAATATTCCTATTACAATTAGATTTTAAGAGATCTATATAAATGCAACACATTCTTGTGATTTTTTTGGAGCGATTGAGAGGGAATATTATACTCCCCGTCCCAAAAAGATTGGTACATATTGACTTTTTGGAAAATTAAGGGAGGAATATTTTGGTGTTGACTTTGCAAAAATACCCTTGATGTGATGGGTAAAAGTAGGATGTAATGGGTAGATTATTAAAAAAAAGGTATGATGTGATAGGTAGGGTATGAAAAAGTAAGGGGTAAAAGTAGTTTTTTAATAGAAATGTTATAAACTTTATGGGACACGGTTTTTTCGAAACGTGTCGGACTTTTTGGGACGGAGAGAGTATAAAATATACACTGGTTTAGAGCCATATATGGAGTGAGTTAGAAACTTAGATTTGAAGTTTTATCATTACAATAGAGCAGTCTGTCTCATCATGTTATTGACCCGTATAATTTACATGCAGTAATTTTTAGAAAAAAATTACACAGACGTGAGTCTGCAGATTATGAAAAGATTTTCTAGAATTGTGTAAACATATCTGATGTCATTCTTTATGCTTTTTATATTTGAGTTGCATACTATTTCATATCAAACATTTAGGAAGTAAAAAACAAAAGTTGGGATAATCTAAAATCAAAAACAGCCTTGAAGTTGCAATTTGGAAACTGCAAAGGGTGTGGAAGAAAGGAAATGCCATGATGTTTGGGGATTTTTTGCAATTACAAGAAAAAAGGAGGTGTGGGAAAAAAACAGCATGACTTTTCCCCCAAATTATCATTGATTCAGTTTTACATCTTTATCCCCTAACAAAGCCCTACGACTTGTGGTGAGTTATGGGAAAAAGCATTTTCTTACTTCACCTCATTATAATGCTTTGTTTGGTAGCAAATTAATTAAATTAAACACAAAGTTATCCAATACTTTAAGTTTAAAAGCATCATTTATATTCTTACATAAAAGTATACTTCTTCCGTCCTAATTTATAGTGCATGTTTACTATTCACATAGTCAAACTTCATTACTTTCTTTCTCTATTTTCTTTAGCAATTTGATAAAATAAAGTATCATTGTCACTACTAGTTTTGTAGATCTTTTGATGAGCATTTTAATATGTAATTTTTATTTTTTAACTCTATACCATTTGTCATATATAATGATTTGAAAATAATTTCAGTCAAACATCTTAAACCGAAACAGATATTATACATTGGGACGTAGGAAGTATAATATACTCTCCATGATGAGATTAGTTACATTAAAGTAAAAACATTCTTTACTTTTTACGTTTCATTTCCGTGCCTGATATTATTAGGGACTCATCTTTTAACTATTCAATATTTCAAAGCTAGTTTTTAGAACATATATTTTTTAATAGTCAAAATTTAAAATTATTAATGATAAACAACAAATTAATTAGGATCAATTTCAAAGTAAAAATAGCCTATTAAGTAAAATAGGGTCTAAAATGTTTCTTCCATTTGTCGTGTCATCTTATATATATATATATATATATATATATATATATATATATATATATATATATATATATATATATATATATATATATATATATATATGATGTCGAAGTGAAAATTCACACAATTTAACACTATCACAATTTGTATACATTACCTTTTGGGTGTTTAGCCCGGCCCAGCCTTAAAAACTGATAGAAAAGAAAATGTAAATTTGTATAGGAAAAAAAAAAGAAAGAAATATTATAATTAAGTCATTTATTCATTTCCTTTTAATAGAAAGAAAAGTGGAAAATTAACTTTGAGAGAAAAAAAAGTGATCAAAATTTTATTTATGAACAGAATTATTATATTTGCCTGGACACGTACATTGGACTCATTACACTAATAATTACCACGGCCGAATGTAGTGATCAATATTGAAACGAAATGAAACGACAAACACCCGATACTTAAGGGGACAGTGAAGAGGGTATTTTATGGAGACTTGGGACCCTCTATAACAAGAATATGTTGGACTCATAGGTCAAATGTCCAAACTAAAGGGTACATTGAATGTGTACTCAACTCACTCAACATCATGTCCATAGGGGCAATGTGAGATAGATCAAAGTTGTCATATGGGAAATGGTGCTCATAGGGGCACTCAAACCATGTTGTTCAAGTAACACTTACATTAGGGTAGGTATAGATGGTACCCTACATAGAATGTGTACTCAACTCACTCCTTGAGGGTAGCCTACCCTACAAAGGGGTACTCACTCAACACGACAATACCTTAGCAGGTTAGGCTACCCTCAAGGTGAATCCCCTTTAAACCGTTTTGTTCAACACAACGATACCCATAGTAGGGTAGGCTACCCTCAAGGAGAATCCCATCCGAACCTTGTTGTTCAATGTAAGAAGAACGGAACAAGGAATGCCATATTTTGAAAAGCAACAAAAAGCAATGGTAGCAAACCAAATTTAACTGCAACCACTGCTTTTTAACCCAAACAAATAATAATGCTAGTAATGTTTTAAAAAGCATCCAGAAGGACGAGCCCCTGCTTAAAATTCCCGTTTCAAAATTATATATATATCTGTGAAAAGATGAGAAGGGGTTACCCTAAACAGCTAGGCAGGAATTTTAAATTTCTACAAAATACAAGAAGAATCTACCTGCCCTAAAGGAGGAACTTGTCTAGTTTCCAATGCTTGTTAGATCCGGGAGGCCGGAAGCTCTGTAGCTGCAGATTGGAGCTTCTGCACATCTCATTCAATACAGAATCACCTTTCTCAGTTTTAATCGCCTCCAAAGCACTTCCAAGCACTTCAGCAGCCAGCCCTATCTCTCGAAGCCGGCCTTCCTCTTCCCCTCCGACATATATCAAATTCCCAATTTCTTTTAAAGGAATCACATTTTCCAAAATCACTTTGGCAAAGAGACGCCCAAGAAACTCTGCAGCTTTAGGGGCATCATTAACGGCGTCCTCCAAGGTACTAAGAACAGATTCGAACCTGCCAATGGAGAAAACGGGAAAGCAGCGCTTGGTCAAGCACCAATGAAGTCAACAGTTATTTGTAACAAGGATTCGGAAATGACTAGTACTTACCCCTGAACGAGTTGATCTTGACTTAGTATAACATCTTGAGATTTGATCAAATCAACAATGAGATTCCCAAAAAGGTCCCTCTCGTTTTCCTTCCTCTCAAAAGAATCCGTAATCCATATAGAAATCATCGACGGATAGAAGCTTGGAGCATCGAGTTCTTTCACACACAAGGCAACTTCATTCTCATCTCTAGCACTGTCATTAATTCATAGTCCATAATGAAATAAGATATTAGAATACAAGAAAAAAATAGTTAAGGCATGATATATAGCGGACATTGTGCATGAGTCCAGTATATAAAACCTGTAGAATTCTTTGATAGCATTCATAGACTTGTCTCTTAGGTGCTCTTCTGGAAATGTCCGATCCAAAGGAACATTTTGTGCAAAGCCAGTCCCTCCCCCACGTAAAGGAGGTGATGTGGGAGTTGTAACTGAATCAAAATTGTGATCCCGACTACCCCCGTAAGGAGCATTTCGCTCTTGTGTACCAGGATGATCATATTGACTCGATAACCTCTCTGGCACGTATCTTGGGACCACATCCTCCCTCTGGCCATAACCTGTCCGATCTGGCACATGACCATATCCATTTAGACCAGACGAAATTCTTCGTGCATCACCTGGATTCGGAGCATTGTCTGTAGTAGAAGAGATATTTGGTGTGCCTCCATGTCCCCTGAAAGACATTCCTCTTCCAAGACCACCTTGTGGTCCGAGCGTGATCTCATCACCAACAGATCTATGTGGAAGAGGAACCGAAAAGGTCCTGTTATCAAAAGAATGATGCCTTTCCTCCATACGAACATCCTGACCACCAAAACCCCGCATCTGTGAAGACACGGGTCGAAAACCGCCACCATGGGCCAAGCTTTGAGAAGGAAACATACTTGAACCTCCTCTGGATGCAAAGTCCACGGGTTGACCCCTTTTAACAGAAGAGCCCATGCTAGGAGCTCGAGACAATCGACTAGATTGTGCGTGCCTTTCTTGAGCTGCATCCCTATGTACTTCCTCAATCTTTTTAGGACCTTCAACTTTTCTCCGCTGCTGCCATTTATTCTTCCTCAGATCGATTGCATCCTTCAGCATAAATCTTACTCTGGATGAGAGCTTCATGTTGTTTGACAAGTTTGCCATCACATCAAAATAACAATCAATATACTCCTTGGCTTTCGGATGATCTATCATCTCCCCTATTGTGCTCATCAGCTTACACAAAGCTTCAATGTTTTCTTCATCAGGTTCAGGATTCTGATACTCACTTAGCAGTTTATTGATGCATGAGTGCATTATCCTCTCTGTCAACATTTTCTTTTTGTACAACTCCCCAATCAGCCGGATGTTACCCAACATCCGCCTTCTTGCTTTTAGTCTTTTATCCTCTCTCTCTTCATCTGAAAGTTTAGTTTCACCATCCCCATCAGTTGTATTAGCTTCCTGCTCCTCACGTTCACCCCTCTCAAATTCCTCTTGGCACTTGTTCAGAAGCAGCCTCTTAAAACTGACCTTCTCAGTGTCTACAATCAAATCAGGTAGTTCTGATGCAAGGTGTTGACAAAAGTTGGCATACATCTCACAAAAAGTTGGTTCCATCAGCGCTTTATCAAAAATTTGTGAAATAACGCCAGTGAGCGTTGTTACATTATCAATGTTTACATCTTTAACTTGTTGGAATAATTTTTCAAAATTTTGAGGAGTAAGCTTGTTCAGAATTCCTTTTAGTTGTCTCTGCTTTGCTTCCTCCTCATCTGTAACCTTGCCAACTTCATACCTCTTCTCCGCTTTGTGCATCAATTGTGAAGGAGCCTGAGGAGAAGGCATTATACCCTTTTGGAAACCACTTCCGCGTAGCCACCTATCAGCATCAATGCCGCCTCTTTGCACACCTCCCGGAATAGACATGGACTGCATCGGCCCAGTAAGGATACCTCCGGCATAGTGAATTGGTGACGGTGCACGAGGATTCCTCAATACACCAGAGTTACTTACTTGGGCAGGTTGGTATCCCATGTGACTGACTCCAAAACTCAAATCAGGCCGCATATCCCTTCCGGGCATTACAGATCCACGTGGTTTATTCCGTTTGTCTTCTTCTGTCATGCCATTCCCACGACGTTCTGGTCTAGACAAGCTAGATGGTCGGTCAATAACCCTAACAGGACTTGGGTAAGAATCACGTGAAAAGTTGGCATTAACAACCATCACTGCCTCTGCAATGTCAGAGGTAATTTCAAACCCCTCTGGAAAATCAGTACATTGATCAGCAAATTTAAGTAGGAAATCTCTTGAATACTTCTTGAATCCAGTCACATCACCATCTTCACTATCACGCTTGAATCCACCAACAACTTGCTTTCCAATTCCCACAGTTCCCAGATTTGGACTGGAGACATCGGCAGCATCTTCCCAATCATCTGGCTCTACTTTCTTGCTCGGTGTGTCGTGCACAACTTGAGGGGTAACTGGATTTGAACTATCATTAGTGGTGCTATCCATACTTTCTACAGAAGTGGCACTCTCTTTCTTTTCTTCTGGACCCTTGTACGCCATATACAGATCAGAAGTTGCACCAGCAGCATCTGCCTTTTTATATAATTCTTTTTTCTTCTTCTTTACTTTAGTAGTATTTTTTTGCACATGCTGCTCCATCAGAAATTTTTCCTTCGCAAGTGAACCAGTGTTATTATTTTCAGCATGCACATCTCCTCCATTTGAGGCAATCATGGAATGAGACTGACAAGACCTAGATTCAGACCCCTGATTCTCATGTGAACATGTTGTAGCAGCAACTTCTTTACAGGCAACAAGACCATCTCCAGCAGATAGACCTATCAGTAATGTTTTATCATCAGGTTTCACATCATTTGACATTGAAATGGATGAAGATAAAAAATTGTTCTTGGTTTGACCTTCAAGTGAACCTATAGCAGAATTATCAACTTTTTTATGAGTAGTTTCAGTTGAAGTGTCATAATTACTCGAGCTAGTAACTCTCACTGGGGAGCCCTCTTTAGTTTGATTGACATGTTCTGAACATTCCAAGGATTGTGACTTTGAAGAGGCTTCACAAGTGTTGCTGTCTTGATGAGATACTTGCATCTTCACTTCATTCTCATTTTTACTCAAGTTTTCAGGCACCTGAGGATCACCATCAAGACTCAATGTGATAGAAGGATCTGAAGAATACTGTGCTTGCCTCTCCTTGCTTTTAGCATTAACTGTATCTAATGAAGTAGGATATATGGATGATGACTCCTTAGAGGTGTCAATGTTGGTGTTAGTCCCCAAAGAAGCAGGCACTTCAACCTCTCTAGTTACTGGTGACTGACAAGGCAAAACTGAAAGGTTTGAAGATTTTTTTGCGTTCTGCAAACTCAAAGAAATAAAATTATACACTATAATCAGCAGTCAAGCAGATAATTTTAAAAAGGAGATAGAATACCTTATCCTGCAATGATTGAGGGGCTCTATGATCAATTTTTTTCTTCCAAACTTCAGGGTTAGGAACAGATGCATCTTCAGCAGTGACAATTGGCACTGATATAGAACTCTCAACCAATACAGTATGTGTTGAAGATGAAGTTGATGGTGTGTCCAGAGGTGAACTTATAACCATGGTGGATTGCTTACCAACTGCAGGAATTGATGACCCATCACCAGGTTTTGACAGAGGCACATAACTATGAGATGAAGTCTGAGAATCTCTGTGTTGGAGACCAGAACCTACTCCAAGGAGCTTTGAGTTTTTCTGTGAATCCTTTCCAGTGGGTGAGCTTACAGAGGCTAACTGGTCTTTTTCTACATGTACACCAGAAGCAGGTTTTACTGTCACCTGGACCAGAATTCATGAAGTTAATATCGAGCAACTCAATAAGAACATTATGACTTACTTCCTCTGCCGGTCTGCCCTAAAGTTATCTCTTTTTGGCTTGTCCTAGACTTTTCTCCCTGTTTTCTTTTAAGGGAAATATTTATTTTGCTTGATATGATTTCTTTCATTTCTATATAAACCAAAACTACACAATAGCATTTTTCTTAATAAGTGTACAAATTAGAAAAAAATAAATAGGACACAGGGAGTACAAGTTTCTGGTATGTAATCTATCCAGCTAACGATAGAGATCAGATAAGCTCTTGGAACCTTGAGAAGGATAGTAGACCTGATTAAGTAATCTTGGGGGCTGAGAACTCTGTGTGTTATTAGGCAGAACAGAATTTGGATGTTGGAAAAAGACCATGCCGTTGTATGAACTAGGATGAGTAGGTGGAAATGAGGATAAGGGCTGTGACTGAAATGGTATACTAATATGAGGCCTTGCACCAGATGATCCATCAAGTCTCAATTCTTCATGTGTTTCAGGATGAGTGATCTTTACAGGGATGCGTGATCCTCCAAATTTCCCAGCTTGCTGTTGAGAAAATTGTGAAGACATATTCATTCCCATGTTCCCTAACTGTGGAGGCATCTGTGGACTCATTCCAGATGGAAAATTTAATCCTTGTCCTTGATGCATGATCCCTTGGGATGACATTGGGTGGGGTGGAAAACCAGGAACAAAAACTGTCTGCTGCAAAGGAGGATTTCCAAGCAGGGGCACTTGAACTTGAATAGGCAAAGATGATGCTGACACGGCCTGAGATTGAATTTGAGGACCAAATTGAACAGGGGGAGAAGGTCGCGGGTGAAAAGGCATTTGCAAGTGAATCCCAGGCATTGGATGAGCAGAATGCTTTTGACCTTGGGACACAGGGGACGGAGCTGAAACTGGTGCATCCCTCTTTGGCTGGGCCACTACTTGATGAGCTTCGCCACTGCTAACTTGTTCAACTGTTGTTACAGTGTTTTTTCTTGGCAACGGCTGCTTGGGAACCAATGACGGAGTTGGCAGTGCAGCTACAGATCTTGACGGCTCATGGCGAACCTGCAAATTAAGTATACAGAGAAAGGGAAAAAAGAACCAAGTTTTCAGGACCATAATGTGCAGATTAAATTTTACTATTTTAGCAACAACACAAGCCTCCGTAGGATTCTACTAGGTTGTTGTTATTGTTAGCAACAACACGAGAACACAGATCACATGCAAGAAATTCACTTATCAGTTCCCAAATGACAAGGCAAAAACTGATCTGTGTCACAATATATAAATTAGACTGAACTGTCAACCAAAAATGAATTTGACATATTGTTAATAGCCTCTCTATACGTTGTGGTATGCACAGTGATTGACAAGAAGAAATTAAATACATCCACAAGTTTATAAAAAATAGCAACGGGCAAGTGAAACTGACAACAATCAAACACCTGGTCAAATTTCTGCTCATCCAAGTTTGGTGGGGCTGAGCTTGTTCGGGCAGGTACCTATACACATAGCATAAATACATTTTCAGGAGAAATGTCACGTTATAAAATATACCAAAGTGCAAGAGACTACCAAGTACCTGCATCCCATTCATTAAACCAGGACTTATTGAGCCAAACTGGAGAGGGAAGGTAGACCTTGATACATCTCCGGGAGCTAAAACATCAGAAAATAGCGATTACTGGTTGGATTTAACTCCAGAAAAAACCAAAACCCAAAAAACTTTTGGATGAGTTGAATGGATTTATTATCATCTTCCTAAAGGAAATATATAGAAGTGGTACTCCGTAGTACTATACAATAAATAAAGTCTCGTTGAGCAAACCTTTAACAGGAGTTGATGGTCCATTTGAGTCAGAAACATTAGATGAAGAAGATGATGGCACGGATTGCATCATTTTTTGAGGTGCTTCATCAGCAGGCCTAGGAGTAATTGATAAAGGAACACTTGCAGGAGGAACAGATGCACCTGACACACCTGAAATTATTGTAATAGCATTGAGGGAATGAGAAATGCACGCAGCTGTGAGTGGTTAAGACTTAACAGCATGTAATTAAAAAACTCAACTAAACAAAAGATTTCTCGAATAGAATTCAATACCACCCAATGAATGCTGCTGGTGAGCGCCATTCTGCACTGATCGAGCAGCTGATGGAGCATTGCCCTCCGAAGTGACATTCACGCCGCCAGCCCGCGGATGTCCTCCTTGTGCATTACTATTCTTCTTATTGAAGCTAATACCCAAAAAAACAATTAAGAGTTGGTCACTCAAAAGACTAATCTTCACAGAAACCCTAAACTTCTCCATATACAAATCCATCAGTTCACTGCGCACACAAGAAATCACATAATAAGCATAAGCAACCGGTGATCACCTTCTATTGGACGACAGGGAGGGATTAGGAGGTGGGCCGTAGTTGCCGCCCCCTCCGCCTCCTCTACCACCGCGATGCGGATTTGAGCCACTGCCTCTGGCGGCCTTCCTGTACTGAGGAGCGTCTCGAATTTCAGCCCTTGGTTGATGGTTGGACATATATCCAAACCCTCGAAAACAGCAATTTTTCCTGCACACACAGATCCGCCGATCGATTCAACCAACGCCCGCCTCCAATCGGCGGCACACAAAACTCCCCAGAAAACAAACGCCATTAACGGCAAAACACAAAAAAAAACAACAAATTGCAAATTTCTTACTTTCCCCAACACTGGCAGGAAATCGATCACTTTACCTGGAAACGAAGAAACAATGCGATCAAGAAACTAGGGTTTCAATGACAGTGGCGATTGGCGGGAAGCATCGAACACTGATACAGAGAAGGGGGAATGGGAGAAGAGAGAGCTTTCTCTGTTCTTCTTGGCGAAGAGAGAGAGACGTCCAGCGGCGGTACAGAGGAAGAGAGAGAGAGAGAGAAAATTATTTTCGGGAGAAAGAAAGAAAGAAAGAGAAATAGTTTTATTTTCAGAGGGGTGAATTTTAATTTTAATAAAGTAATGATGTAATTAAAAAAATTATTAGTGTTAAATATGGACACGTGTCGTCTGTGTGGGTGTGTTTATTTTTATTTCAAATGAAATTTGATTTTAATATATTTATGAGTGGTAACAAATCGAACTCCAAGTACGGCGGAGAAGGTCAAAAATAGGTTTTTCAGGAGAATTCGAAACAGAATGAGTCGGAGCGTCACCAAAGGCGCCTCCATTCTTATTTACTCCTTCGAGTCTTAAATGATTTGCAAAATATACTATTTAAAATTCACCAAAACTTTTGTTTATTTGTATGCTTTCGTTGATCATTTAATGAAATAAAATAATCTTGTCGCCTCTTGTTTTGTAGAACTTTTGATGTACTTTTTAAATATGTAATTATTATTTTTATTTATATCCTAATGTTTAAATAAAATGAATTGAAAAACTTGAGATTTTATTTTGTTTTACGTAAAATTTAAATGATTTAGAAACATACGGAGTATATAAAATCTTTTACTCCGTACATATTAGTCTATAGCTAAATTATATTATTTATTATTTAGATAAAATAGTATTTGATAATAAATCTAATAAAATTACCTTTATACCAATATTTAATATAAATTTCAAGTTATGGATTTCCTAGATTGTCAATTTCAACTACTAGAAAATTAAAACTAGATAAATACTCAAAAATGAAATTAACATTTTATTTTCTTTTTTCCTTAAAAAGGAATTGATTTAAATAATTTCTTCCATCCTGATAAATTTTAATCATATATTTTTTTTTATTTTAATATTTTACTTAAATTTTGTGAATAATGAATTAGAAAAATTATAGTTAAATATAAAATTATCGAATTGTCACGAATCGTGTCCACTCCTATATTTTTATACATTGCTCCAAAAGGTAGAATTGACTGCTTTACACGACTCTCTTAGACAGCTCCACCCCCACGCTAGGGCAGTAGGGCTGGACACGGACTGATTCCGAATCTAGAATCGATGGTTCCGATATCGCTGGAGAAAGGTATCGCCACTCGTAGCAATGCTAGCGGTTAGTAGTACCAAATCTGGAAGTGACCGAACCGGTTTCAGTCTTGGAACTTTTAAAAGAAATCATTTTTTGCTTTTATGGGGGTTTTGAATTACATTTTTTATTTAAAGGAGTATATATACCTAAAATATTAATATAAATGTAGTATTAATTCATAAAGTATTTAATATTAAAAAGTACATAAATTACAACTATGTTTAATGCGTTGACGATTCAGTAAACGATGAGATAAAGCATTGTAAATAAATCCTTGAAAAGCTTATAGTTCACTCATTTGAAAAAACTAAGTTACATTATTCAAGAAAAAAAATGTGAAGTGATTCACGCGTCCGAATTACACTTCACTATGTGGTTGCGTCCATGTAGTTTTGCATATTCATGGCGTACACCGACTCTTTTAATTTTGTTGATAACTCGCCAAGAGCCAAACTCGATTGCAAATTAATCTCAAGTGATTCAGCGTTAAGACAACTCCAGAATTCGTTTAAAATGTCCCCACTAAAACTAAATTCATGCTCCACAGCTACTCAGCCTACTTTTGATACCGAAATGAATATCACATCTTTAGCTTGCATTTTGAGTGACGTGAACATGTGCTCATGCCTTGCTATTGAGCTCCAAATGATAGTAATGCAGGTATCAACTAACAATGTTCACAAAGTCAATCATACTTGTGCTAGAGCTAGACCAATCTCATGAACAAAAAAATCATGGATGGAAAGCAATCCGACCAACCAGTGGTTGTTTGATGTTCATATCAAAAAATAAAAAAATACTTTTTGTTGGATTTAGAAATCACATTAAAAAATTCTCCAACATGTAATAAAGCCATATGTTAGGGTGGCATGAGGAGGGCTTGACCTCCTCCTTCACGCTCCTAAAAAGTAATGGTAATTTTGAAAAATTAACTTTATTTTTTCTTTTCCTTAAATATGCCCAAAAGTCAAAACAGACGATTTAAAACGGGACGGAGGGAGAAATTATTACGAGTAACAAATAAAACTCAGAGTCAAAACATATGTATATCTCATCAAGGGTATGTTATTTTGTATGTTAGAAAAAAATTACAACAACAACAACAACAACAACCCAGTTGAATCCCACAACAGTAGGGTTAGAAAAAAAAAATTAGAAAGAGTTAAACAAAACCAAGTGAATTACACTTCTTTCTATGGCAACAAATATAGCCAACGTTACATAAAAATGACTGATACAGAACAAGACTGCTCACAAAAAAAAAAACTACACAATTCCATAACTACAACAATGGGAATCCTTTGAAGAATTTATAAACAATGCCCACAAGAGAGAGCTCCCAACAATGGCAACACCAATATGGATGGCAAATGAGTAGTACTATTTGGCTTCACAAGGAGAAAGGCTTTGCATAAACATCGAATGTCTGGCATGCAGTCAACTGTGGCTCCTGTTAAGATAAAAATATGACAAACATTCTTACAGTACAGAAGAATGAAGGCATAGTTACATTACATGATATGTTTGGATGGAAAGAATTGATTTCAAAAATTTCGAATCCCGGGAAGGGTAGGAGATTCCTCCCTCAGTCCAGATTTAATTCTCCGTTTTCCAAAATAACTCAAAGTTTAGGATAATTATAACATGACAAAACTTGTCATTGTGTGTTTTTGTTTATATGGGTGCGGTTCATGGCACATTGGTGTTGAGTGTGCTACACTTGTAAGGCCCTATGGTGCTCCGTTGGGGCACCATAAAGTGCCAAAAAGTGTTGTGCGTGCTACACTCAACCCTGGTGTGCCATGTAACGCCCTTTCATATATGTAAACATTTTTTTAAAAAAATAATATTCACAGGTTTGATATCTCAAGCGCATGTTACCCAATTCATGTAATTTCATTCTCCTAGTATCATAACTGGACAACTGAATCTGGACTCCCCAAAAAGAAATGTTGGACAATTGAAACAAGACAGAAAGGGTAGTATTTATATAGTCTACCTGTCTAAATCCACCACTAAAACTGCCGCCTGTCACAAGCATGGTTAGGAGGGACGTGACAATGCCCCCACCAAGGTCGCTTCCGGAGCCTCCTCCTCCACCTGCCTCCTGGATGGCTTTCCTCATTGCAGTCAATATGCTGCCGTAAGTGGTTCCATGCCCACGCTCAATGGCTTGAATAAAGCAGTAAGTCATGGCACCAGTTGAGGTAACTCTAGATAGAGCCTAGCCACCACGTTTAATTTGCTTTGGTCTATTGTCATTTTTCACACACACACACACACACACCCATGAAGGAAGGAAAATAGAGAGCTTACAGATGTATCAGCAGAGGTTTGGTCATCATCACAACCACTGAAAGATATCGCTTCACCTCCACTAGTTCCTTTCATAATACCTGAACGGGGGCGATGGTCCTCCCACATATATTGACCAGTCCTGTGGGTAGAACACCAAAGTAAATCAATGGAACATCTTGGAGACAAAAAAAAACTTTGAAGAATAATTAATTCAATCTGAACTCATATTCAACGAGTCTTCGGAGGCCAAACGCATAACAATATATTTTGTGAGCAACAGGTAAATGGATCTTTAGTAGACCCAGATCACTTATTTCCAAAATTTATATTCACCCACTATACATGGTGCACAAAGTGTAATTAGTCACCAAATACAGAAAATAGTCAACATAAATGTTGAGAGAAGATGTGATTTGAATACATTTTTTGTTAATTAATATAAAAGTCCCGACACGAGCATGAGTAAGGGTATGGGTCTCAACTCTCAACATTGGGATTTATACACGGATTTGTTTAAAATAACTTGGTTCCTAGTCATTCAGACATAAAAACTATTTATTCTTAAGATTGAATTTGAGGACCCACTACCCTCCGTACCCATGGACATGGCTATCCATTTTCTATAATGGGGTTGTCGATGGTCTCATTACCTTCACTCTTGATCTACACAAGAAAATCATTCACTTGAGCTTTTATCACCATCATCGGCTATCTCGATGTTGTTGTTTCCCTCTTGTATGGCCAGCGATTTGCCGAGCTGAATTTGGTTGAAACTTTTGGAGTCGATGAATTCATTATCCTTGTGCTCATCGTACCTTTCTCCATTAAGCACTTTATTTCTGTGGTTTTTTATGAAGGAATACTCTTTGCCGAAAGAACATTAATAGCTGTAATAGAGGTAAGAACTCAATACTCTTTCCCGTTGGATTGATTTAGTTTTTGGTTTTATTGTCTATGGTGTTCTTTCACACAGACAAATAACTTCTTTCTTTACACTTTCTTTTTATGTACATCAAAAATAACCTTTGCAATTCCATATTTTCCCTTTTAGAAAACAAATATGCGCATAACATAGATTTTCTATCTTTGAAAATTGAAAAAAATCCAATAGCACAATTTCAATTTTCACCAACTTTTCAACATTTTTTTAGATTTGTGACCACACACATACTCCGTACAATTTTCTTTAAAAAAATCCAATAGCACAATTTTCTTTAAAAAAATAAGGAAAAGAAGATGATTTGTGACCTCCACACACATACTCCGTATGAGTTTACCGGTATCTTTTCGCACATAAATAAATATACATACGCTTCTTCAAATAATAAATTAACTTAGAAGAAGAGAATGTGTAAGCGCATGGTGTGGCACTGTTGTATGTGAGCCGGTTCCAAACTTATTCTGCGTACAAAATGGAAAGACATAGAGTTCAGCATCCCAATCATCCCAATACCGCCTATGCAAAAGTGTTTCCCGCAGGGTAGAAGACTACGATGCACACATTCACCAATGTGATATCCTAACCCCCATGGAGAAGGTAAAAGCTAGCCTTTTCTTCTTTCTTGATTTATTTTCCTCTTTTTTGAGTACTTTATATGTCCCCTTTTTCTTCAAGAGTACAAACCAATAAAGTCGCACACCGAAAGGGCATTTCAATATTTGTTTCTCTTGCTTACTTTTCTTTACGTTCTCTTTATTTTTCAAACAACACTTTGTTTTAATTTATTTCTAGCACTTTCAAAAAAAAATATTTCTAGCACAAAATTTTAAAAATAAATTTTCACCACATTTGTTTTTGCTAGAAATAATTTTAAAAAAACATTCATTGAAGAAATAAAAAGAAAGCAAAAGACATAAGAAAAAAAGAAATTGCTGCCACCAGATAGATTTGGACAAAAAAATTTTGCATGCAATTTTTTTGCTTTGTACTATTGAAGAAGACAGATTGAGTACTTAAAAAAGAAAAAAAATCAAGAAAGAAAAAAAAAACTTTTATTCTTATCTTCTCCATGGGGGTTAGAATATTTCCCTGCAGAATGTGTGCATCGTAGTCTTCTACCGTGCGGAAAACACTTTCACAAAGGCGGTAATGGAATGATTAGGATGTTGAACTCTATGACCTTCCATTTTGTACACAGAATAAGTTTGAAAATCATGCGCTTATCCATTCTTTTCCGCTAATTTAATTTATGATTTAAAGCAGTGCACATATACTTATTTACAAATGGATGAATACCGGTAAAGTAATATGGAGTATGTATGTGGACATTATGAGTCAATTTCTTTTCCTTTTCTTCTTTTTTTTTAACTTTTTACTCCCTGAAGCTAGACAGTTTGACTTCACAAAAATCTAATAAGGTGTTGAAAATTGGGGAAATTGAAAATTATGCGGTTGGAATTTTTTGAAAGAAAAAATACACGGTATGCACATATTTGTTTCCTAAGAAAAAATGAAGTGAAAAATTGATATTTTAGACATCCATAAAATGAAAGTGTAAAAAATGAAGTTATTCTATCTCAATGAAGAACATAATAAACAGAATAAGGCCAAAAACAAAATCATTCCAAAGGACGGGAAATAGTAGTGTGCTATTACCTCAAAGCCAACTATTATGTTCTCTGGTAGGGAGTACTCTTCCATGAGAAACCACAAAAACAGAGTGTGGAATGGAGAGAAGTATGATGAGCACAAGGATAATGAATGCATCAACCTTAGAAATTTCAACAAAACATAGCTAGGCAAATCATTGGTCATACAAGAGCGAAACAACAACAGTGAAATATTTATTGATGCTCAGATGGTGACAAAAGCACTGGTGAATGGTCTATCGTGCCATCTTGGTTTTTAGCTACTTTGTAAGTTAAATTATATGTATGGTGGGTAGGTAGTTGTTGTTGTGACTTCGGCCTTTTAGTGACTTTTCATCTTATTTTTAGTTTCATCTGTCGCTCATTGTTGATGACCAAAAATTAATACTTGCTCCATCCATGAGTATTTCTCCAGTATTCCTTTTCGGGTTGTCCCACAGTATTCGTTAACTTTCCTTTTAATGTAAGCACAAATAACATAAGAAGCCCATTATAGCCTCCAATATGTATTAACTCTTTCTCTCCATACCTTCTTTTACCAACCCCAATTCAACTTACAAGACCCAATTCAATTACTCTCTCTCTCAACTTCTATGAAGTCGGAATGTTTGCCGATGGAGTCTTGCAGGTGGCATCTGGCAAGAGATGTAGTATATGAGTTTTGCCAAATAGAAAGAAACACCACCCCATATCACAAAAGAGACGATTGATTTAACAATTTCTCGAAGCATAGCAAATAGATCTGATCTATTGGACACAGAGCAAAACGAGTAGAGTAGATCTATCTATGGCGGAGAGAGACACCATGAGTAGAGCAGAGTAGAGTTGATTTGTTTTTTATCTTTCCTCTTAATTGATGAGGGATGGGTTGTGGGATAGTGATGACTTGATGGGGGGATGGGTGGTGGTGAAAGGTGTCAGGTGGATGGTGTGGTTGTGGAATAGATGAGGTGGTGAAGGACATCTAGGGGTAATTAAGACATTTCTTCCCACCTTGGTTTAGGCGCCAAAACAAAAGTGGCCGAACATTCTAGGACGGAGGGAGTAAAATAGAAGTATGTTAATTACGTAGTAGTATTCCGTGTTTGAATAGATCAATTACGTTGATTTGGTTGGGTGATATAATGTGAAGATCAAGAATGAAGATGATGAGAACATAGCAGGGCCAGACACCATTCTTGAAGATGGATAGCCATGCTCATGTGTAGGGAGTGAGTCCTCACATCCTTTTTTAAGAAATAAATGCCTTTTAAGGTCTAAATAAGTATTGATCCAAGTTATTTTAAACAAATTTGTGTATGAATATCCAAATGTTGAGACCCATATCCTTAAGCATACCCGTGTCTGGACCGTATATACCAATTTACAAAAACACTTACATTTAAAATTTGTGTCTGGCGTTCTATATCTTTTCTTTGAATCACCTTTTTTCTTCATCTCTTAGCATTTGCATTAAATTTTTTGTTTTGAATATTTGTCAACTTTTAGTGCTAGTTACATTGTGTACACCATGTATGCTGGCTAATATTGAATTTATTGATTGGAAATAAATGGTCTTGATCGGCTAAAGATTCATTAACACGTTGGACACAGAGTATATCCGTATGCATTCAGGGTCCGAAGACTCATTGAATATGAGTTTCAATTGAATTAAAGCTCATGACTTCAGACTGCATCCTTGACACTCAAAATATCTTATTATAAAACAAAATTCCTAGTTCGTTTGTCTCCAGATGTTCCATTGACTTACACCATCTATGTGTACTCCATATAGTGTGTGTCCTAGTAGTAAAGATCTACAGCAAAACCATATTTTCAACATAAGATTCAAAGAAAATAAAATATAGATCATGTAGTTACTAACCAAACTACTCCAAATATACCCGGTGTATCCCACTCGATAGTAAGGTTTAAGGGGAGGAGCAAGATGCACACACACCTTACATCCACGGCTTAACCTGTGTAGAGAAACTGCTTTGGAGAGGAACACAACAAATACTGATATGTAATGTGGAAAAACCCCTAGAAGGCCTCTCCAACATCTACAACACTCACACCCCAAGTCATCAACAAATATAATGTCTTGTAGTTAATACTAGGTCATTAAATCCATCCCCTTGCTAAATCTCATGTGTCATTAATTTGAGAAACTGTATACGGGACAAAAGACAACAAGACTGCAGAAATTCAGTCTCACAAACAAAAGTAATGGCAAAAAAAGATAGTGAGGTACCTGTTCATTCTACAAAGATAAGGCAAGTCCAAGACAGTTCCACTATGGCATGCATCTATTATCGCATGAAGCTTAACTCCAGGAGTAAGAGGTCTGACAATTGATGCATTGATTTCATCATCAACTATCATTCCTTGAGTTTCAAAGTCCATAGGACATAATGTTTCATCGTATCCATCAATTTCATCACCATTGTAGTTCCTTTGCCTTGACCCATGCCCAGAATAGTGAAATACCAAAGAATCTCCAGGTTGACATCCTTGTACAAGCCAGAATAGAGCCATTCGCATGTTGGCTTTGGTAGGACGTCTATAGGGATCAGTCTCTTCTTCTGCAGTGATAATTCAACAAAATAAAGAAACCAAAAATAACATTATATGGTTAGACTATTAAGATTTGGTGTCTCATACTAAAAGTTCAACTCGATAGAAGTAATTCAATGCATTAAATTTTGGATAGTTGATATACATTTTTATATATTCGGACAAAGTAAGATTTGCTCAAGTATCCATCATATTTACAATGATGGATAGTTGGAGCAAATCAACTTTGAAACCTTAGTGCTCACTATCAAATCTTACTAAGATGAAATTGCTCATTTGAGCTCAGTAGGTTTTGATACCAGGGCCGGGGCATGTTTTATTCTACTAATTTTGAAGGGCGAAGAAACTTTTTTTATACCAGTGAGCATAAGAATAGAAGATTCTGGAAACTGGAACTTGTTGATCAGAAGGTATCGCATGCACTTGGCGTCGTTGAGGCATCCCTTGAGCTCGTGTCTGGAGTTCCGGTAAGATATGCCGACGATCAAAGCCTTCTTCCGGCCGTGCACATTGGGCGGAGGGCCAGGAGGAGCGTGGTTGTACGGAGAAGGAGCGGAGGAAGACGGAGGACCGGGAGCCGGCCAGTGATTGGAAACCTGCGGAGGCGGGACGGCGCGTGGATCGGCGACTTGAGTCACGGCCTGGCAAATTGCGCATCGGATCGATCGGGCGCCGGGAGGGAGTTGCAATGCGGTTCTGCAGTTGGAGCAATTTATGAGTAGAAACATGGCGAGATCTCGCGAGAACGAAGAAACGTGTTCAGGGTTGGGTGAGTTTTTTACGCTGATTGCGTGAAGAACTGCAGAAGAAGAAGAAGAAGAAGAAAATGTTCAAAAGCCTAAGCCGCGTGGAGAATGTAAAAAAAAACTACGGTCTTTTCTTTAAGTTTTAGTACCCAAATCAAATGAACTTTTCACATGGTTTGAGTGTAGATATTTGACCGAATGGGAGGGTTCCATTACATTGACAATGTTATGAGATAACATGAAGATAGTTCAATGCTCTCTTAGTAAAATTGATGATTCCTACATCTTCTAACTCCACAGTAAACCCTTACCCCGCCCCGACAATTGCACCCTACAATTTAATTTTGATTTTGGAATCAAATTTTGACTCCAAAATTAAAATTAACTTGTGAAGTGCAATTGAAGGGGTGGAAGTGTTTTCGGGTCGGGCAGGTTGGGGGTTTGTGGGTTAGGGAGGGGCACCAGATCGCCTATAAATCATCTCATCACATAGGGTTCCAATGTCATGGGAGCCCACCGCCCAAGAATTTGTATGAAAGTTTACCTAAACTTGAGTTCCAGTAAAAACAAAGGTGTTGGAGTCTATCCTACATCAGAAGTAGAAGAAAAAAGCAATCGGCATATAATCTCTTAAGTTGAATTAAGTGATTGATTGGATTCAATCTTTTAATGTGGTTCAGTTCAAGCGTCTTATGAAGCAATTCAATAACCTTTTTCTCATCCTAAATTCTACCGAGAGGCAATGTCGCTTTGTGTAGATTTCGTCTCTATCAATCAGTTACGGCCGCAACAATCTAAAGCATGTCTAATCTAAGAAGCTGTTTGGCAGTGTTTTGCTTTTAACTATTTAGCTTCTGCTTTGAGTATAAGTGATTTTATTCTGTTTGGCATGTCAACTTCTGCTTTTCACCACCACTATTTTGTACATAGAACACCATTTCGGAGAAGCAGATAGGAGGTGCTTCTGCTTTCAGTTTTGTGGAAATCACTTTATCAATAAGTTAATCACTTCCATACACCCTCTAAGTCCCATATCATCTCCTTCTCCCTAATTGGCATTTAAGTGCGACTAGTCCCAACTCATTTCATCTCTCTTTTTCATTTATTTATTCAAATATATGGGACTCTAATATGAGACCTTGCATTGAAATTGGCTCATTTCTTTATAATCTTACATGAAAAATTTACCATTGAGCATGCTCTATTAAACATGCTCTAAAACGTTTCAATCTCTCTTTCTTTTGCTTTATTTTTTTATTTCTTCAAAAAATACTTTTTTAATTCATTTCTAGCAAAAAATATTAAAATAAAAAAATGTTAAAAAAATATTAAAATAAAAAAATATTAAAGAAAAAAGATAGAAAAGAAAAGAAAGATTGAAACGCCCTATGCTATTGGGGCCGCTAATAGATATAGATACAGATGAAATCATCAACGTATAATTTTATTGCTTTCTAGAATGATAGATTGAGTACTCAAAAAAAAGGGGAAAGTCAAGGAAGAGCAATAATGGGATACTAAACTCTATGCTCTTCCATTTTGTATTCAAAATAAATTTAGAATCTGGCGCAATACGATAATGTCACATAGTGTGCTTAGTCATTCTCTTCTCACAATGCCATTATATAATGTACATTATCACAAACTCACAAGTCACAATGCAATAGACAATAGTCATATTTCGAAGCTAAAAATAGTTCAATCTTATTTTGGAAATAAAAGCTATACTTTGCTTCAATTTTGGTTGATTTATTTTTCTCTTTCCCTCTTGTATTCTTCTAATCTATAATTTTTCTCATCATTGTGTCATTAAATAATAATAATAATACATAAAAATACGAGGTAAATAAATAAGAAAATAATAAATTTAATAAATTAATTTTTTTTTAAATAAATAATAAAATAAATAAATAAATCATCCTTTTGTTCTTAAATAAACTTCTTGTAATTATTACGGTCTCTCGACAACTTCTGTTTATTTGTAATTTTCATTAATTATTTCATAAAATAAAATATTCTTGTCACATGATGTTTTAAAATTTTTTGATGTGTTTTTTAAATATATATTTTTTATTTTTTGTTTCTATACCAATTTGTAATAAAACAGCTTTAAAAAGATTCGCCGCGAATGTAGTTTTATAAAATATATAATAAAACATGTTATTATAAGTGAATGGGCTATTTATGTTATTTACATTCACATAAAAAAGATTGGGCGTGAATGAGCTATTTAAGTTAATTGTTTAAAAAAATTGGCGTGATTCACACCCCTACAATGTGATGGTGGTGTGATGGGTTGCGCTAGGAAAGAGAAAAGTTGGGATAAGGTTGAGTGCGATGGGGTGATGGTTGTGATCCATCACATAAGACCATATGGTCTTAGGATGAACAACAAGAATTAATAAGAGAGTATTGCAATGTAGAGGGGAGTAATAAAGTTGGGAGAATTCCCTTGAGAGTAAAAAAAAATATGAAAATACCAAAATAGAAGTGATAAAACTTTTAGGACCAAGTAAGAGTTCACACTCTCATTGTTACACTGTTACACTCACCAAACTGTCAATTGTAACTGCCACACTATCACTACCAAACTGTCATCCGCGACACTGGTCAATAGAGTGCCGTCGCGAACCACTGACGATTGACTGATCAGTCTAAAGTGGTGGTGTGAGTATTTAGGGTTTTGTGGGGTGGTGCATAGTATGACTTGGGTCACATGCCCACTATCAATATAATGTCTATGTTTTTAGCAATATTGACTCGATTTAATGTAGTATATGTTCATATTATTTTCAACTTAGTAATGTATAAAAGTCAATGTATTGACCTCCGGCCCTCCGCTAGGCTCAAAACCTAGACAAACTTCCCCATGAATATCTAATTCCTTATCATACTGTAAATGTCTTCTAAATTTTAGTTCTCGACATGTCATATGAGTATGTTATATGTATCCTGTTGGTATTTATACAATCACTTATTAAAAAAAGTATAATCACTCATTCTCGTTTTCAATTGATAAAATAAAATAATCATCTCACATCTTATTTTGTACTTTATGCATATCATTTTAAGTTGCATATTAACTATTTACATGGTCAATTTTTAATTACGTTCTTTACCTATTGTCGTTCCTACTTTGATAAAATAATAGTTATGTCATATCTAGTGTTGCAGAATTGTTGATGTACTAGTTATTTTAAAGTATATAAATTTTATTTTTAAATTTCATCCCAATTATCAAATAAGTTTATTTAAAAAATAACTTTAGTCAGACATTAAAAACCACAATATATAACTTAAAATGGAGCATAAAGTTTGGCGCACCTTTTAAATATTCCTTTCTAAATTTTATTTTTTAATTTTACACTATTAATTAATTAAATAGAATGGAGAATAACTTAAATCAAATATCATAAATTGAGATATAATCTTGTATAGATAATTTTGGATCGGCTCTCCTTCATATTTTTTAAACCAAGCAAGGAGAGGGACTCAGATTTCCTACCCTCTCCTCCTATCCCATCCAACCAAACAGAACCCTTACAAGATTTGACTTAAGTTATTTTTAATTTAATTTATTTGAAAATTTGGTAGGGAATAAAAATATATGTATTTAAAAACTATATCGAAAGTTCTACAAAACAATAGGTGACAAGATTATTATAGTTTTCAAATGGGTAGTAAGAATAGCTGAAGAATTTAGTTAAAGTTTAACCGTGTGAATAGTCAACATATAACTTAAATTAGGTTGGAAGGATGCTAAACTAGCATATGTTGAACAATACTCCGTACAAGCTTGTAATTTGGTGTTTGACACGCGTGTTTGTGAACAAATCCAATACTGAGGGTGGACGAGGCATGATGGGGGTGGACGAGGGGGAGGGTAGGAGGCTGAGGAGTGGGGGTGGCGGGGTGTGGGTGGGTGGATGGAGAGGTAGTGCATGTGTGGCCGAGGTAGAGGGTGGCGGGTGGTAGGGAACGGAGGTGGGGGCGGTAGTGGGTGGGAACTGGGAAGGATAGGTATATGGGGGTCGACGTGGGTAGGGGCAGGGGACAAGGGCGCGGGTGGGGGACGGGCGGGGAGAGGACAAAATTTTCTTTCGAAAACGTACAGAAATCATTTTCTCCCAATTGGGAGAATATTTTATTCGGAAATCATTCTCTTTCGAGTAATGTTACCAAAACGCAGAAAAATAGAACCGCGCCCTCACATACCGCTCTCGATGCTGTCACATAGCACAACAATGAAATAGACCATACCAATTTGCACCAAGGATGGGACATTTTTTGGGATAGAGAATCTCCCTACCAATTTACACAAGCTTCACAGTTTCATTACATAGAAGAAGAGGATTCAACTCATTGTTGTGTTTTTCAAGTAGCCAATCATCACTTCACTAATATATACACATGAAAAAAGCTTGTCAGGTTCTCACCTCAACTCCAGACACCACTCTGTTTCTGCTGCTTTGCTACTTTGAGAGTTAACAATAAAAAAAGACCAAGTGGATAGAAACTTGCCATAGGTGCTCTCTCATCAGACTTGTCTGGCCACCAATTCTGTCACACAAGGAGACGCGGATGATTTGTGCGGCAAAGAAACGGTTCCACTCAGATCATCCGTGTGTGTGTGATGGAATTGGTCAAACAAAAAAGGAAAACTTTAGCCAATTATTAGTTTGTTTACTTCGCCTTGAAACACGTATTTTTTCACACGATGGGAATGGGGAGCTCGTCGCTGTTTCTTCGATGATGATGATGATGCATTTGCTTTTGCACGGCTTTGACTGCCGCTACTCTTGCTGAGTTAGCTGATCTGTTCGCTGCTGCCACAGCCTTATTCACTCTTTCATCCACCTTCCCCACATCATATGCTCTCTCTGCTGCCCGACGTGCTTCCTGACCCACACAAAAAAAAACAAGATTGTGCATTTGTTTTAATAGACTTCATGAAATGCCGCTCAATCTTCATTTTTGGAAACACACACTCCCTCCCTAAACTCTGCTTTCGTGGGATTTTACTGGGTTTGTTGTTGTTGTTGCCCATTCCCCATTCAACTTATGTCCCCTCGTTTGGATTGCAATATAATCACCATGAATTGGAGTGTAATGGCCCGTATTTTTTATGTCTTAGGAAGAAAAGCTTGTGAATTTCGAGATTTTATCAAGATGATAGTAAGGAGACATTGTTGGCGGGGATTGTGTGTGAGAGTTGGGAGAACCTGAGGTCCTACATGTACCACATACCTCTCCAATGCAATCCCACACATTTTAAAGGAATTCTCGTCAATCCAATCATGGTTTCATTATCCCATTCATTCATAGTAATCCTAGCCATACCACCAAATCCATCACAAAAAGATCACTGAGGTTCTTTTGACCTTGAAACCCTGTGTCATATTATGAACCAGGGCACCTACACTGCTCCGTTAGTAAAATTGATGATTCCTACCCCCTAACACCCCTCCCAACTCCCCCATGGGGTGCGGGGGAGGGGCAGGGGTAAGAATCATCAATTTTACCAATGGAGCATCGTAGGTGCCCAGGTCATAAAGGGTTCCAAAACCAAAAGAACCAAAGATTAGCATTACAACAAAGAACAAACCCAGTAGAATCCTAGAAAAGTAAGGTCTGGGGAGAGTATGTGTACCCAAACCTTATCCCTACTATGAGTTAGAGATGTTGCTTCCAATGTAGACCATATATTATTCACAAAAAACCTAAGCCGGGATGCGAATATCGATCACCATTAAAAAGTACAAACAAGAAAGAGGTGAGAGAAATAAAAAAAATGAAGAGATGATGAAAGTACCTGGACTGCATTAAGCACTTTAGAGTGATAAACAGCAACCGGAGAGACAGGAGAGGACACAGCCTGTGTGCTTGGAATGTCGAGAACACCATTTTGCCAGTGCCCTGACTGAGTTTCACCATTTCTGAAAGTATACATTCCCAATCCTTGTCTTCTGCCCTCATGCCACGCTCCTTCGTAGCAATGCCCGTTCGCAAAACGATATACCCCAAATCCATGCATCTTGTCTGCAAAATATTCTCCAGCATATGTGTCCCCATTCCTGCGACACAAAGCCAATAATTAGTACTCCGTACTAAAAGTCTATTGAGTGAAAAGCGAGAACAAATTAAGAAAACACATAACTTAATTATGGGGCTTTTTTACACCAGTCCTCAGTGTCATATTATGATACCAAGCCATTGGAGGTCCTACGGTCATCCGTTGGATCCGGGTCCAGGTCTTGCCCCTGTAATCCACCATCAAACTCAACCCTACAGTCCCCTGTAGCAATTCAACGAAATGCTAGGGGTTGGGGATTAGGTTTGTGGGGTGGGTTGATGGTAGGACCCGATTCCAGATCCAACAGAGAAACGTAAAACCCTGGTGTCATAATAACATAATTCTTTACTTTTATTAGATGGGGAAAAATCTACTGCTCCGTATTTGCTAAAACATACTCCCTTTTCCAAAACTGGTGATTCCACACTTGCTAATTTCCCTAATAAAGGTTGGAATCATAAACAATATTTTATAATGATCCCTTATGAATTCCTTAAAACAGTGTGATCAGGTAGAGAGAGTAAGAAAATCTGCTTAAAATGACTCAAACAATAAGAAAAGCCATAATTTAATTATTTATTGTGCTTAGATGGAAAAAAATGTACCATGTGCTAAAAAGGAAGAATTTTCAAGTGAATGATTTGAATAGGAAAATATTTAAAAACACATTGCAAGACTAGTGATTCCTTGTCTGCTATTTTTTCCAATAAAAGATTAGGATCATAAACATATTTTCATAATCTTCGCTTATATATTTATTCCTTTTAGCAGTGTGATCGTTCCAATTTTCCCTCATTCAGCTTTATATGACTCAAACAATAAGCCACGACAATCACGGTCCTCACGGATGATCATCAATGATCCAAACAACTATATTTATACACAAACAAGGCAAATCCTTACACCATGTTCACATATGAATGTCAAAACAAAAGCATATTAGTATGTCTGTATGTAATATGTATATACCTGAAATGGTAGTGGCCAAGGCCATGTTTGACACCCCATTTGAATTCTCCAACGTATCGGCTACCATCGTCGCAGGTATGGACCCCACACCCATGGCTCTGCCCATTAGACCATTCTCCTGCGTAAACATCCCCGGTGTAAAACCTATAAACCCCAAAACCATGCCTCAGTCCTTGCCTATATTGCCCCCTGTATCGGCTTCCTCTCGCCCATGTCTCAACCCCATGCCCGTCATATTTACCCTCAACCCAATCGCCTTCATACCTTCCACTCATATAGTAATAGTACACCCCACTCCCACTGCATTTCCCCTTGTGGAACTCGCCCTCATACACATCCCCATTCCTATACGCCTGCACGAAGTTCCCAGAATTGAATCTTTTCTCAAGTTTGTTGGATCCGATCGACCAGAACACGGCGGGTAAAGGGCTCCTAGACACTTGGCCAGACAATGGTAGCTTGATTGGCAAAGACCGGGAGAGGAACGACCGGATGGAAGGCAATCTGGGAAGGGCCAGATTCAGGGAGAACAAAAGGGCTGACGAGAAGGCAAAAGCCGAGAGGAAATCAAGGAAAAAGGAGTTTGTTGGGTGAGAAACAAGGAAATAGAAAAACGGCAAAGAGAGGAGGAGGATGAGGCGGAGGTGGATTCTGACCACCCTGCGCAGGTGGCTGAGCTGGTGGTAAGCCTGGACGCCCATGAGTCTAAATGATGAGTTTTGTCCCTTCCCCGGAGCGGAGGAAAACTGGGTTTTGTGCAGGGAATCATTCCACACGGGAGGCGATTTTATGAAGACCGAGCTCGGAGAAGGATCGGATGGGGTATTGGAGGAGGAAACTCCCGAAAGGGGTCTCTTGTGAGGCGTGGTCTTGCCATTCGCGGCGGCGGGGACGACCGGATTATCGTAACCATCATTGATGAGGATTTGAAGGGTCGTATGATCAGAGTTCACCGGAGAAGAAGTACAAGAAGCCCGGGAAGAAGGGCAGCCTCCGCCTCCGCCGAAGAAGACTACGCCTTGTTCTCCGATGCTGGAATAGTGCTGCGGATGCTTCTGGTGAAGCGAATTAAGCAAATTGGGGCTGAAATCGGAAGAGACGCCGCTGTTTTCTTTTCCGATCTGACCTTCAGATTTCTTCAGAGGCATTTACCCACCACACAAACGCCTCAACATCCGCCCTGCCCTCCTCCTCCTCCTCCGGTTCTCCCTCCGCCGCACCAAATTCGCCACTTTTCTCCACCAAAGCTCGCAACTTTCCACCTTTATCTCACTCGGAAACACGAAATTGGGCGGAAATTTCCCTCTTTTTTGTTCAATTACTTTTTCTCGAATTGGAACGATTCCCAATTTCCAATCTCTCTCTCTCTCTATATATATCTCTATGAATGGACTGAAATCTATAAGAGGGAAGATATACACAATGACAATATAAATATGTGTGTGTGTGTGTGTGTTATCGTTTTGTGCTATGGAGAAGAGAGCGGAGAGAGCGATGGATTTATGGTTTTCTTTCAAATAATACAGTCATTAAACTAATGGCGTGCAAGATTATTTGAAATATGAAGGGCGACTAGGACCTCTCAAAAAAAGAAAAAAAAATCTTTCATTTATTCCCTCCATCCTAAAATGATTTTTCTTGTTCCATTTACGAGATTTGATTAAAATTATTTTCAATTCAATTTATTTTATTATAGATAGTAAAATTTAAAAAAAAAATTATATATTTCAAATGTCTACAAAACAAGATGTGGCATGTTTATAATATTTTATCAAATAACAAACGAAAATAGAAAAAAATTAATTATAGTTTGACCATTTGAATAGTGTCTAGGAAAAATCATGGAGAGTACCTTGAGTTATACATAGTCTCTTCCCCCACCGTACATTCTTGTCTAGAATTTAAAAATTGGATCATGAATAAAAAGATAAAATAATGTTAGGGTGCCACCTAGACCAAACAAAAAATGACTAGGCCTATTATTGACCCAAAACCTGACCTCAAAATAAATATTGAATTTTGAACAAAGGTTTTGATAACCGAACCCGAAATGACCTGCTAAAAATGGGTTAAACCCGACCGAACTCAACCTGACCGACCCGCTAAAGTAAGAATTTTTCATAATTATACACTTTACTACTCGTTTTTAGTGTATAAATTGATATATTTTCAGACAAAATTTTAATTATATTGCATAATTATCTTATTTTTATCCAAAACTTAAACATTTTTAAATTCCTTATATACATACATACATACATACATACATACATACATACATACATACATACATACATACATACATACACACACACACACACACACATATATATATATCTATATATATATATATCGTTAAGTCTAAAATAATATCAGTGTTACTGGTGTCATTTGCTTACACCAGTTCGTTTGGGGTACATACGGTGCTCCATTTGTAAAAAAGATGGTTCCTACCCCCCCTAACTCTCCCCCTAATACATTTAATACATTTTTTATATTTTAAATTTATTTAATATAAAATTTAAGTAATGTTAATTTAAAAATTTAAAAAATCAAAGTCATAACTCGTTAGGTCGACCCAAACCCGATGACACCAGGTCATGAACATATAGTCTCAACGCGAACCTGAAATAACCCGAACTTGAAGTGACAGAACCCGACCTGACCGACCAATTTATCAGCTCTAGTGTCACTGCCATGGGTGCACCTATGCTTCACACAGACGATTGACATCTGTGTTTGTCTGTGCGAAACATGGGTGCAGTCATAGGAGAATAGCGTACAACTTGAGGGATAACTTGACGTGCCCCTTGCATTACTAAAAACAATAATAAGGGTGTGGAGATTAGCTGAATCTATGCCGTACAACTAAATGTATGATATTTCTCATACATCTCGATAATTACCCATTTATGATTATCTGAATGTTCATTTGACGACCGAGTTTTTATTTTGATAATTAGCACTTTTCTCTATCATTTTCTTTTGAATTTAGTTTATTTTAACATTTTTTCCTTCTTCATTTTAACTAAAGAAAGTAAGAAACCGGCGTGGTTCGTTTTTTTAAGAAACCAATGGAAATTAAAGGAATTAAGCTAGGGGTACACCAACATGGGGTACCCCTAGCATTGCCCAAATTAAAGTTCTACTACTCCACTTCTCTTTTTGCTACGGAGTATTTCTTTTCCATTCTCTAAAATCTAAATACTTCAATTAATTAGTATTCTTCTAGTTTAACTTCTTTTACTCAAATTTGATAAAGTTTAATTGTCAACAATTAGATTTATGTTACATATCAATATAATGAATAAAATAAATTGAATAAAGTTAATTTTTCAATATATAATTAGGGTATACAGTAATTTTTGTTTAGTTGTTCATCAATTTTTTTTATTAATGCATAAATAATTGGGGCCAAATTATTTTTCTCAGAAAACGTTCAAGATGGAATACAGTGTTGTGCATCATCCCCCCACTGTGCATTCTTATCTAGAATTCAAAAATTAGATTTTGCATAAAAATATGATGTGAAAAGATAAGTGGTATATAAATTAAGGTACACTTTGTGATACTCCTAGCATTACTAAAAAATAGTGTGTGTATGGTAGATTAGCGGACGATTATTTATGTACATTATCTAAATACACATTTTTTTTTATAGACCTGGCAAATTCGACCCGATCCTTTATTAATTCAAAACCCGATCCGAAATTAGCGGGTTTTGAACATCAATTTTGCGACCTGAACCCGAAATGACTCGAATCCGGCCGAAGACCCGTTAAATTTTCGGGCCGAGTCGGGTTTGACCCGACGGATTATGCACTTAATTACTTATTTTTATAATTTATTTAGTTTTATATATTCATTTCAAATATGATATACCCATTAGGCTACTCAAAACTCAAAAAGCGTAAAACCTAATCTAAATCCAGTAACATTCCAGTATCTCTCTCTCTCTCTCTCTATATATATATATATATACACACACACACACACACTCCACGTTCTTCCACCATTCGTCGATATTAGATACCGACTCAATCAAAATGGTGAGAAGACACAAGATCAATAGTGGAATTTTTAATTCTATTTCATCGTCTTCAATTGCTCCTACGTGTAACTCAAATTTTAATTCTTTTGTTTTGTTTTGGTATGACGCAAAAATATCAATTGTTTTATAATGCTTATATATTTTCGGGAATGTTGAAAGAATCTTAAATTTTTTTTCATCTAATGCAATTGTTTTGGTATGATGCAAAAAGGTGATTTTTTGGGTATATTGCAATTCTCTTTTGGTATGTTGCAAAAAGAACTGCAAACTTTTATGATTTCGTTCTTTGTTTTGAATAATGCTTGGATCACATGATCTTTAAATAACAAAAATTTTAATTTTTAAATACGTCTCTTAACCCGTTGGGTCAACCGAACCCGATAACTATGGGTTATGAACAAGCACTCTTAGACCCGAACCCAAAGTGACCCAAACCCAAAATAACCTGAACCCGATTATACCGAACCCAAACCCGATATGACCGACCGTTTTGCCAGGTCTAATTTTTTAGCAGTTGAGGATGTATTTTTTATTTTGACAAGTACCACATTTCTTCGTTATTTTTTTCCATCCAGACAAGAGAATTTAGTTTATCTTTAACATTTTCCCTTGTACATAGGTCATTTTCTTTTGAATTGGACTTTAAGAGTTTGATGTTGGAAGAGTTGGAAAAAATTAGAAGAAATTGGAATCTGTTGGAGGAATTAAAATGTTAAAAACATTCAATTAAATGATTTGATCACCCAAATAAATATGTAAGAAAACAATGGTTTTGGATAAAAAATATTCATTCTTATCCGTGTTTGAGGTAGTATGTTATAAATTTAGGTATATAATGTAATTGTATATTTAACATATATAAATCATATTTTAAGTCCTTGTTGGAAAAAAATTGAGAATTAAAGTTATGTTAGGTTGTTGGAAAAAACAAAGTCTTCTTCGTTTTTTTAAAAAAATATTAATGGGAATTGAAGTTCTATTACTCCACTTCTTTTTTCCTTTCAATTTTCCGAATATTATCCGCATTGATTAGTACCGAGTTTTCAGAACCGGAACGGGGACCGAACCGGTCAAGGTACTGATTCACTGGTCGGACCGGTGATTCAAGTGGTCGAACCAGTGGTTCACGCATATTTAAAAATTCAATATATATATATATATATATATATATATATATATATATATATATATATATATATATATATAGACACACACACACACATGAAAAATAATATTTCGTGAAATAATACTTCCTTTATCTATAAATAAAGAATTTATGATGTATTGATAAATTTATAAACAATTTAATTATTTGAGTAGTGACATTAAATTGAAACAAATGGATATTTAAACAAAAAAAAATTATAAAATAAGAGGTGATATTTTTTGTTTTATAATTTACGCAATATTTTAAAATATTTTAATGAGTTAATAGTTTACCGTTTGTGATATGAAGTTCATATTAGAATCAATTGCATCAATATTTTAGGATTTGAATAACATTTTCAATATTATATTTTCAATTTTTTTCCCAATTTTTTTTAAAATCCTTTTAGAATATGTATACTTGTATATTTTTAAGAATGTAATATATAACTAATAATGTCTTTATGTCACAAAAGAGATTGTGACATGGATGGTAGATAACCAATAATGAGGGCTATAGGTTGTGTCTTTGAAACCCCATTAGTAGCCACTCTTTAGACATTTGTGCAAAAAGATAAAAAAAATACTCCGTAAAAAATTGGTCAGCGGTCAAACCGGCCGGTTCGGTGCACATGAGCGTCTTTGGGGCTGGACCTGAATTATTACGTAATTACGCTGTCCCTGGACCGGAAGTTATACTTTAGATAGATCAAGTTTTTTTCCTCATATACTTTAATAAATTTTAGCAAGTCGAGCTGACGTAATTGATTACAAAAAAGTGACTCTATTTGGCATCCAGTTTTCAAAACTATGGTACCGAGTTTTTTTCTAGTTTAACTTTTTTATTTAAACTTCAAAAATTTTAATTGTTAATTATTAAATTTACGTTATATATTAATATAATGAAATACGAAGGGAATTTATAAAAATTTTGCACGAAATGAATTGAGGGTCTGTTTGGTATATGGAATGGATGGAATTGGAATTGAAATTCCATGAGATTCCATTCCATAGAATTGAATTCACCAATTTCCAATTATTTTTTGCACTATCAATTCCAAATCCACATAATTTTCAATTCAAATTTCATAGTTTGAATTTCGCGTACCAAACGGAGACTGAATAAATTGTTTTTAATGTAGAATAGAATTCTTATTTAACTCGTTGGTTAAAATATTTTAATTTAACTTTTAGAAGTTAAAATGGAAAATGAGGATGGATTTTTTTTTCAAGACCGTTCAGGACGGAAGAGTACAACCTAAAAGTAACTGCCAGATAATATTGCACTTAAAGTTGTGACTTTGAACGTTGAATAAATGAATGTGAAATTTGCACTAAATACGACTAAAACATAATGACTTTCCTAATGTAAGATTTAATTTTTTTTGTTCCCTAGATAGGACTTAATAATGACCTAGTGGAAAAAATAATGTCCAGTAATGATGGACATTTAGTTGAATAATAACTACTTGATAATGACCAAAGGTCCTACATTGGGAAATAAAAACATATGGTTTTATATTGGGAAAATTATTATGTTTCAGTCATACTTAGGTAAATTTCTCTAAATGAATTTTACGTGGCTCATCATTATGATTGCATTACCTCATTTCAATCTTATATTATTACCTCTCTGTCTCCAATTTGATTATAAATTGCGGTTTACGGAATAAATTTTCTATTTTTTGAAATTATTTTATTTACAAATTGGTATATCAATAAGATATAAAAATTCCGTCCCATGAAACATGGGACTTTTGCTTTTTAGGAGGGATTTAAGGGGAGTGTATTTTGGTATTGAATTTCCAAAAATGTCCTTTGATGTGATGGATAAAAGTATGATTTGATGGATAGATTATTAGTAAAAAAGTATGATGTGATAGTTAGGGTATGAAAAAGTAAGGGGTAAAAGTGACTTTTTAATAGAAATGAGAAGTGTTTTGTGGGACGGATAAAAAAAGAAAGGAGAAAGGTTTCATGGGACGGAGGGAGTATTAAAAAGCCACGTCAAAAGTTCTACAAAACAAGATGTGACAAAAATATTTTATTTTATCAAATACTTAATGAAATCGCGTAAACAAACAAAAGTTATCGAGAGAATATAAAAAAATTGTAATCTATTTAGGGACGGAGAGAGTATGAGTTATGAATGATTACTGTATTACAAAGTACGGCCTACTATCTAAAAACATTTAAATTAATCTGTATCCACAAAATTGATTCAATTTAGGGGCTGTTTGGCAACTTCTGAATAGGTAAGTGCTGAACCAGTAAAAGGTCTGAACCATTAAGTGCTGAACCAGTAAGAGGTCTGAACCATTAAGTGCTAGTATATTGCTTAACTATTCAGGGGCAAATGTCTGATCAATTCAGATAAGAGGTCCTAACCATTCAGACTATGTATAATACTTAACCATTCGTAAGCAAATCTCTTAACCATTCAGACATCTTAACCATTAAGAGGCTGAAACAAACAGTATGAACCATTAAGTGCTGAACCATTCAGATATCTGAGCCATTAAGAGGCTGAAACAAATAGCCCCTTAATCTCTTTACCATTTGTTTTTATGCAATCATGAGGTCATTCTTTTCACTTGTCTATTATACTCCCTCCGTCCACAAATAAACTTTACATTGCGCGTTACGATGTTTGACTAAAGTTATTTTCAAACCATTTTATATGAAAAATTGTGTAGAATTGAAAAATAAAAATCACATATTAAAAACCATATCAAAAGATCTACAAAACTAGAGGTGACATGACTATATTATTTTATCAAATGGATGACGAAAATAGGCCAACAAAGTGAATAAAGTTTGACCTTGTGAATAGTGAACGTAAAGTTTATTTGTGAACGGAGAGAGTATATTGTTCTAAATATTTTACGATGACGTCAAATTTATTAGAGATGACATGAAACATTTGAATTAACATGTTAATTCATACTTATCTAAAAAACATTTTTTACTTAAAAAATACTCCGTATACATTTTATATTTATTTTCTTTTTATTAAAAAAATTGGGGATAGAATTAGTTATTATATAATGACTAAAGTTAGATTAAATGTAGGAATTAATATGTTAAACAATATTTTCATGTGATATATATAGTAAAACTTGACCTCATCATTAAAAACTTGGGACAATATTTATAGACAAGTGAAGAGCAAGACTTGTTTGAATAAAAATAAATTGTACAGAGACTAAATTATTTCAATTTTAAGTATAAGGACTAGTTTCAAAATTTTTAGATAGTACATAGACCTCTACGGTACTTTGTCCACTTCGTAATGAGTAACTTGCCTCAGAAATATCATAACACATAAAGAGAGTCAAATGCATAAATTTAGAAAAAGTTTTTAGCATTAGAGCGAGATGACATGAAAAATTTGAAACATGACCTACGTAATGCCATTTTATTAGGCATGGAACATGATGTTACATAATGTTACGTACATTTTGAAGAATTGAAGGAATGAATTTGCTTAATTACAAATGTTCCTTTGAAAAAGATAAATCCATTTTTGTTGTAGTAAATAAATTAGCATTATGTCCCTATCGGCCCATTATATGTGATACATAAGTCAAACATCATATGGTCCCTATCGGCCCATTAGGATGGCTGAACAATATGTCAGAAGCTCGTAAACAGGATTATTGAACTAAAAGAACAAACTAAAAAAACATCCATACATATTATAGTTTCGGCCCGGTTCTAGTGACACCGGAGAACGGTGTCACTCCGGTGCCACTGCATTTTTTAAACACCTCCGGTGCTCCGTTCGTAAAATTGACGGTTCCTACCCCATAAACCCTCACTCTACCCCACCCATGCATTACATAATAGCCACACATTTTGTGGGGGGCATACGAAGGGGTTGGGATGGGGTGCAGGGGTGGGGATAGGGTAGGGGATTTAGGAGATGAGTTAGGGGGTAGGAAACATCAATTTTACGAACGGAGCACCGGAGGTACCCAAAACACAGTGGCACCGCTAGCAGCACCGTTTTCCGGTGTCATTATTGAGATTGTTCAATGTATTAACAATAACTACCTACCAAAATGGTCTAATCCAATTGTTCAATGTTTTTGAGATATTTTCACTCTTAGATTACTAATAGAATTCACCCCACACATCATTTCATATATGGAATAACTTAACAATCCAAGGTTTATAAATTTCAATGAATCAAAAAACTGGGATTTTTCATTCATCATCGTCTTCTTCATCAAACTAAGCTACCATGAAGCCCACAAAAATGGCGGCGCACGGCGGCAAGAACGCCTCCCCCACCACGACAATGGCTGCCCTGTTTCTTCTCTTTTTACTCGCCTTCCTCTGTTTCTCCACCCGGACTCCCATCTCCCCTGTTTTCCCCCAAAATCACCATAGCAACCAACGGGAAACCCAATTACTCCCAGCAGCGCCGCCGCGGGATCGGCTGGAAGAAGCTCTGGGCAGGGCGGCGATGGCGGGAACGAAGACAGTGATCATAACGATAATCAACCAGGCGTACGTGGAGCCGGTCTCCGGGGAGCCGCCGTCGATGCTGGATCTCTTCCTCGAGGGGTTCTGGGAGGGAGAAGGGACGAGGGAGCTGGTGGACCACTTGCTGGTGGTCGCCATGGACGACGCCGCCTACCGGCGCTGCCTTTTCCGGCGGCTGCATTGCTACGGGCCGATCACGACGACGGAGGAAGGCGGAGTGGATTTCTCCGGCGAGAAGGTTTTCATGTCCAAGGAGTTTATCAATATGATGTGGAGACGGACTCTGTTCCTTTTGGATGTTCTTAAACATGGTTACAACTTCATCTTCTCGGTAATATATTGTTCCATTTACTCCCCTAAATCACCCATCTCACTCACTATTTACATGATTAAATTTTAATCACTTTCTTTACTTATTTTTATTAATTATTTAATAAAATAATATAGTCATCTCACCTCTTATTTTGTTGATCTTTGATATACTTCTAAAATATATACTCCGTAATTCTTATTTTTTAAATTTTAAATCTATAACCAAATAAATTGAATTGAAAATAATTTCAATCAAACCTCATAAACCAAACTAAGAAAATCATTTTAGGACAGAGGGAGTACTTTTTTTCATATTTGATTTTTCACTATCTTGTAGCAACTACAGAGTAACACTTTAATCATTAATATTCTAAGACAATATTTCTGAAAGCAAGAATTAGGAATTTGTGTATCATTAAAAGTAGGAATTTGTCTTCTGAAAGCGAGAATTTAAAGTTGAAAAGGAGAAAGACCAAAGTACTGTAGAATTAAAACATTGAGAATATACCAAAATAGAACTTCCATGTTTTTATTCTCGAAATAGGACTTACATTACCACACATGGTCATATATAGAACCAAAAAAAGTATAGTAATTTGCACATGTACACTGCCACATTACAACAGAGCAAGGTCACATTACCACAATGTAAAGTCCTATTTCGGGAAAAAAACATGAAAGTCCTATTTTAGTATTTTTCTCTATGTTTTAGTCTTATTTAGAGTGATTTCTAAAGTTGAAAACAATCCCTTAAAATATCATTACTCAATTACTCTTACATAAGTGTATGCCTTTACTAATAACGGTGGATTCCTATTACATTGGAACCTCATGTCATAAGATGACCCGAGGACGCTTCGATGCCTCGTTTGTAAATTTGACGGTTCCTACTCTTCTAACCCCCTAGTAAATTCCCTACCTTGCCCCGACCCAAACACACGCCCCCACCTCTTTCAATTAGACCCTACAAGTTAATTTTGACTTTGGAGTTAAAGTCAAAATTAACTTGTGGTGTGCAATTGAAGGGTGTGCAATTGTTCGGATCGGGGCGGGGGATTTTTCCGGAGGTTAGAGTATAGAAACCGCCAATTTTACGAACGAGGCACCGGAGCGCCCCCAGGTCATTCCATAGCATTGCCGGGCAATGTCACGAGAACTGTCACGTACTAATAATTCTTAACTAGTGTGTCTTTTGTTTGTAGGACACGGACATAATTTGGTTGAGGAATCCATTCACAAAGCTGAGCAGCAACACAACAGAAGACTTGCAAATCAGCACAGACATTTTCACAGGGGACCCATGGTCAACCGCCAACCCGATCAACACGGGCTTCTACTACGTAAGATCTAATCCCAAAACCCTCAAGCTCTTCGAAACATGGTATGACATGAGGGAGAAGTACCCGCCTCAAATGAAAGAGCAAGACATCTTGGCGATCATGAAAAGAGGTGGTCCTAGATACTATCTATCTCAATAAATATGATTCTAGTTCTTTGAATTTAATATCGGGCAAGTGGATGATCGAATCATTTTACACCTTAAACACCGCGGCTCGTTGGGAAGAACGTAACTCAAACAACCGAGTAAGCCTTTGGGGTGTACTTTATATATATAGACAACTAAGTTAAAGAATCACAGGTCGCTAGGACAGGACTACTTATATACAAACATACCACATTGATGTTTTTCATGACATCGACTAACAGGTTGGATGTTGGTTAAGGTAGAGAAAGAGATTTTTTTCCCACTAACATCATGATAGACTTTGAGATTGGACAATGATAATCATTTCAATCATTAAATACTTTGGTCAAATTATACAAAAAAAAAATAAATTTAACCGATTAAAGAGTTCAACTTTATATCTTATACAATTAACCTTTTCCATTTTGGATATGACTCAAACACATTACAGCGTACGACATATATAGTACTCCCTCCGTCCCAAAAAGATTTACACGTTTCAAAAAAATTGTGTCTCACAATCTCTTACCCATTTCTATTAAAAAACCACTTTTACCCCTTACTTTTTCAAATCCTACCTATCACATCATACCTTTTTACTAATAATCTACACATCACATCCTACTTTTACCCATCACATCAAGGGTATTTTTGGAAAGCCAACACAAAAGTATCCCTCTCTTAATTTCAACTTTAGTCAAAATGAGTAACACTTTATCTCCATATAACACCGCTACGGATCTTCTATATCCAAATATATTGTCTAGCAGGTGGGATTTTCAAGGAGATGGGGCTTCTCGTTCGGTACTTGGACGCCGCACACTTCAACGGCTTCTGCGCAAATAGCGGGGACGTGGCAGCAGTGGCAACTGTCCATGCCAATTGTTGCAGAGGCATCACCGCCAAGGTTGCTGATCTCAAAAGTGTTCTCCAAGATTGGAAGGTTTATAAGACATCTAGAGGCAACCCTGGGAATTTCCGGTGGTCTGAACATGTTTTTTGCAAGAATTCTTGGGGGCCTACTCCTAGTAATTAAGAGCAAGACTACATAGTTTGGGACATATACTTATACTACTATGTATGGATAATGGTTGGGGTACTACTTGTACCCACACCTTTCGGGTCCGTTTGGCATCAACGTTAGAGATTAGCGTTAGCGTTTTCAAAATTAATCTATGTCATTAAAATTTTATTCAAAACATTAACGCTAATCGAAAACGCTGGGATATTTGTTACTTCCTCCGTCCTAAAATTAACTTCTCATTTGACTTTTTACGGTCTCCAATGTGATACTTTGACCATCAATATCTCTATTTTTATATAAAATATATTTTATAAAAATTATATATTTCAAAATGAATCTATTGATAATAAATTTATATGAAAATTTAATGTTTTTTTTATAATATATGGTTAAAGTTTAAAAAGTTTGACTATAAAAGTCAAACTGAGAAGTTAATTTTAGGACGGAGGGAGTATAAGGTTCTGATGGAAGGTGGAGTGAACGTTTGGGCAACTTTAGCGTTTTCCTAAACTAGTATTTTGACCCGTGCGATGCACGGGGTCGAACGAAACTGTTGTCGATTTTGAAATTTTTCAATGAAATATTTATTCCAAAATCAAGTAAATATATTTCTGTCACAAATTTTAATCAATGGAAAACAATGACAAAGTAGAATATAATATTTGAGAAATTGAAAGTGTACTCGAACAAATCTTTTTTAATTCCAAATTTTTTGAAAGACTTTAGTGTACACAGCATTTTTTGTATCGTTGTAAGCGTTTTTATTTTCATCTAGAACCAATATTTTTAATCATGTCTTTTTCTTTACTCGTGAAACAGTAACATAAAGCTAACCATGAGTAAATCCCGAATTGGTTAAAAATAATATAGCAAAGGACAATGTTTGACATTGACTTTTGTTTATAGTCATAGCAAAACATAAGACTATTATATTGAGAATTCTATCAGATGATACCAAATTTTATTCAGGGTATGTAAACCTTTTTCTCCAACGCGATTTCTCGAAACATCAATTACATTGATAATGTTCTTTCACATCTCTTTAATGATTAATCTTTTACCAATACACAATCCATATATTTGGTCAATGTTCTTCAATAACATAATCGGTACCCCCTTTTAAAAACTATTTTATGGTTTGAATCCCCTAACATTTGATTTCATTAATAAGAATTGAACTGTTATCTAATCGTCTTCAACAACTACATC